GAATATTGGAAGACCAAATGAATCTCATTGGACTACATAAAACACTTAAAACACAAATGTTTTGACCTTAGTTTGGCAAGGACTGCATATGAGCCTCTGATTATATTATTGTCACGGCAAATGAATAACAAATAAAATTAAAGCCGCGCGAGGCGATGGTGGCCCTCGCCCCGGGGCGTTTTATATTCAGGCTATGATCAGGCATTAGTGATTCAAATTTCAGCACGATCGGACGAAGCCTGTGTCTGTTATCATTTTTTAAATATTTTTTGGGGAGTCTTTGCGCCCCTGCTGGCCAACCGTGAAAAATGCCCCATGTCCGTAATGCACTTTTTGGCTTGTAATCACCCATAGAATTTAATACCCGACTTTGGTACAAATCTGATATTGTTGACGTTTCATGTCTATGCTAGAGGGCGCTATAGTGTTCACTTTTCATATACTTTATAGTGTATTATGTTTAGGCCATGATCATGCATTAGTGATTCAAATTTCAGCACAATCGGACTAACCCTGTGGGTGTAATCATTTTTTAACTATTTGTTGGGGAAGTCTTTGTGCCCCTACTGGCCAAAGGTGAAAAATGCATCATGTCCATAATAGATTTTTTTTTTGCTTGTAATCATGCATAGAATTGAATCCCCAACTTTGGTACAAATCCGAAATTGTTGACATTTCATGTCTATGGTAGGGGGTGCTATAGAGTTCACTTTTCATAAGTTTTATATTGTATTATATTCAGGCCATGATCATGCATTAGTGATTCAAATTTCAGCATGATCGGACTAAGCTTGTGGGTGTAATTATTTTTTAACTATTTTTTGGGGGAGTCTTTGCGCCCCTGCTGGCCAAACGTGGAAAATGCCCCATGTCCGTAATAGACTTTTTTGCTTGTAATCATGCGCAGAATTTAATTCCCGAATTTGGTACTAATCCGATAATGTTGACGGTTCATGTCTATGCTAGGGGGCGCTATAGAGTTCACTTTTATTAGATTTCATATTTCATTACATTCAGGCCTGGATCACGCAATTGTGACTTGAATTTGAGCTCTCCAGGACAATGCCTGTGGCCGTGACAGGTCACCGAAAAAACAGGAAATGAAGGCATTTTTCGCCGGCGTGCTACGGGCGGAGTATCCCAAAAACGTGGATGATTTGAGTGAAGCTATGTCTGTAGATGTGACATGTCAAATCTGAGCTCATTTGGACCAAACACCACGGACTAGTAGCATTGTGCACACACGCAAGTCAAAACAGCGCCGAATTTTTGATCCAATATGGCCGACTTCCTGTTCGTCATAGGGGTGCACAATGATTGGCTTTTATAAGGCTTTGGAGGCAGGAGTGCTACTTGGATATGCAAAAAATGTGAAGAAATGTCCTTTTGGTGCTCTTCAGTGTAGGGACCAGTCTCAAATACAAAGTGGGAAAAAAACTGAGGCACTCAAAAAGTACAAAATAATTAAAAGCCTTTAATACCACATGGCAGATAAAGTTAAAATACGCCAACGCGTTTCGGCCCTTCGGCCTTCATCAGGGCAAAATTTTTGCCGGCAAAATTTTTGCCCTGATGAAGGCCGATGGGCTTTGTGATTGGCTTTTATGTTTGTCTCCTTGAGTTCTATCACTGCTCCGAATTTCGTGACCCTACGCCAAAATATGCGTCTGAGATGCTCCAATTCATCTTTTGTCTTGTGTCATTGTTCTCTATCACTGTCCCGAATTTCATTTCCCTGTGACAAACTTTGCCTGTCCCCACTCCCATAGGGGTGGAATTCTAGGCGGCGCTGAGTCGGGTCACTTTGGTCATTGTCGTAATGCCCATTTTATCAAATTTTTCGCCGGGCCGATCGATCTGAACCCCGGTTTGGGGACTTTTCGTCGACGTTCAGAGGGTCAAAAATGCGATCGTTTGGTCGGAAAAAGAATAATAATAAAGAAACCGACGAAGAACAATACCCCTCGCCCCTAACTTTGTTAGTGGCGAGGGCCAATAATGCATGCAAATTAAATAGAGCACATTCCCACAACTCCCCCGACCCTGATCAGCTCGTATGCCTCGAGTTTGCATCAGGCCGTCAGCTGAATGGAGCCTGACGCTGGACTATAAACCAGCCTTAAAGTAACTTCAAAGGTGGAGGGCTTTCCTGAATGAAGGAAGTTTAGGGAGAACTTTGTGCAGATTCATCTGTCTACATTTGTAAATTGTGCTTTTATCGGGACCAAGGAAGAGGAGAATTTTGGTGGAATTATCTTTTGCAATGCATAACACGATAAAACAAACATGAAGCTATTTTTGATCCTCCGCTGTGTTTTTACACTACTGTATAATTTAAACAACTCAATGTAAAAGTATTCAGAATACAGTGCTCTGATTGGGCCATGTATCGAAATATTACAAATAGGGGTGTCAAATTATCGCGTTAATTGCGATTAATTAATTACAGTCATATTTAGCGCGTTATGTTTTTTAATCGCGTTAATCTCATTTTTAATCTAACTTTACTGTTTCTGTATGTGAGTTGCTTTATTATAAAATAAAGTTTTTATGTGTTGGGACAACAACACATAAAAACACATTTATACATTTTTTTTATTTCGGTAATTCCACTCATTGCCGGAAACCCACACAAAACGCGCACAGTAAGAGCGACGTAAACATCACGTTAACGTTGGCGGCGTCAGTCACACAGTGGACGAGGTCGAAGAGCCAGTAGAACAGAGTCAGCAGTGCACAGGTAAAAACACATTCATGTCTTGGAAATTATTATCTCCCGATGTGAATATATAAAAGAAAATAACAAATATAATATCGCCTACAACTTAAATGTCACTGGTGAAAACAACCTGCATAGGCTCATGATGTCTGCACTACTGTCCTATAGTGACCTGCCACATGAGGGGACACGCACACAAACACACACAAACAAACACACACCTTCATCATCGTCATTAACCTGAGAACGCGCGGACCACGTTTCCTTCCGTAGACACTGCTCGGACACCGACGTGCTCCCGTGAGCCGCGTGTGGATCGTGTTTTCGCGCGTACGCTGCGTAAACCGCGCTTCCTCCTGTGCGCCTCTAAACCAGAACTAACACCAAGACTAAAACCAGGACTAAACCAGGTCTAAACTAGAACTAAAACCAGAACTAAACCAGGTCTAAACCAGGTCTAAACCAGGTCTAAACCAGGACTAAACCAGGACTAAACCAGGGTTAATCCATTCCAGGACTAAAGTAGGACTAAAGCAGGTCTAAACCAGGACTAAAACAAGGACTAAAACCAGTGATCTCATATATAAAGCATTTCTCTATCAATAATATTTTTAATATGGTTAAGGAAAGACTGGACTTTTTATTGTCTTTAAGTAGACAAAAGTTATTATGTTCAGATTTCCTCGTCTTTGCTACTTTACAGCAAACAGTTTCTTATTCATGGAGACTTGGGCTCAACAGCCAATTTGGAGAGATTTGTTAAAACAATAAATGACTTTATAAAGTCACTTTTTTTTGTTCTATATCAGTCTTTTGATCTGCCACAATAATGTAATAATGAATTTAAATGAAAATACCTCAAATTGAAGGCTTTTCTCAGCAATTTTTAGGTGAGATTAAAATGAGATTAATTAGATTAATTAATTACAGATCATAATGAATTAATCTCTCAATTTTTTTAATCGCATGACAGCACTAATTACAAAATATATTTTACTGCAGGTATTCAGTATTCTGTAACTCTTTACAGAACTCTCTTGACGCACTTAGCTTTGTTTGAACACATGTAGGACTACAGTATAGTGCAGTTCACCGCAGATCTAGGAAAGGCAAGACAAATTTATTTGTATAGCACAATTCGTACACAGGGTAATTCAAAGTGCTTTACAGAATAAGAAATACATTGAAATCACAATAAAAAACAAATCAAAACATAAATAATCATCATAAAATTTAAGATTAAAATAAAAAAGAGAGAGAGACATTAATTACATAAAAAATTAGAGAGAAGAGTACAGAATGAAAACCTTTCAGTCATATGGAGTTAAACAGAACCATTTTGAGCCTGGATTTAAACAGCGTCAAAGTTGAGGCCTGTCTCACATGTTCAGGAAGACTGTTCCAGGTTTTAGCTGCATGAACCTGAAACTTTGACTCCCCGTGTTTAGTTGTGACAGTGCAGATGGTTCATGTGGCACTAACATGTCACAGATGTAATTTGGTGCTTGGCCAATGAGAGACTTGTACACAAATAGTGCCACTTTAAAGATCTAGGACTAGAACAGGTTTCAACCAGGATGAGGACTAAAGCAGGTCTAAAATAGAACTCACTTTGAATTGCACAACCATAATACACAGTCTCTGAATCTCTATAGTTCACTGTGGCCGATGGAGTTATGGGGTTTGGAGGTACTAGCCGGGATTGCCAGATGACAATTGTAGGAGTTTTATAGGCAGTGACTAAAGACAAATATTATGGATTTTAACTTTTGAAAATGAAGCCTGTGTATGATTTTGATTGAGACAGTGTCTAGCAGCATGAAGCAAGAGTGTAGGTTCAAGGTTCAAGGTTTGAGTCTCTCTTTGGCAAAAAGTGAACTACTATGGCTTTAAGTTGATGCAGGGATGGAAAATTACAAGGAGGTAAAATGTTTTGTAACTTCGATACCAAGATATGTACTTTTTTCTGCTGCATTAGAGTTGTCTGAGGACAGGGATGAACCAGAATACCACAAAGACAAGCAATAAAAAAGACTGGAAGATTAAACTGCTTAATGACCACCTTCCTCCTTTCTTTATTCATTTAAAGGGAGACAATATCTGGAACCTCTTGCTGACAATAGGATAATTATAAGTTGTCAGTATATGAATTTAATTACGCTGAACAATATGTAATTATGTCTTGTGGGTTATGTAAATACTTATTATCTCCACACCTTGTTTTTTGTGAATAAAAGCGCTGCAGTTTCTCTCCAAACCATCAGAAACCAGTACCACAGAAAATATTTCTACTACTCATATTTGTAGTACTAGTAATTCTTGCCTTGGTGAGGTTTGTCTGATCAGCGGCATGGCTCAGGTCTTGGTCTTGACTGTCTTCTTGACCCTTCTCAGCTCGGGCTCTCCTGCTCCTGTGGACCACTCTAAGGAGGACCACCCCCATGCTCAGGTGGTGAGTAAATACTTCTTAGGGTACCATAGAGCCTTTTACTCTTTACTGGACTGAATAGTTTTAGAATGCTCATTACTGCTTAATTGCTAAATCCAAACTAGTATAAGACCAAGAAAGTAGCAAGGAAATAAATCTTACTAATCAAGAAAATGTACACTTTTCACTGACAACTGACAATTTATTTGTGTTTTCAGTCTACAAGTGCAGTAGAAGGTAAGTTTTGCATCTTTCAGCAATAATGTCTGGTACTAAAGTGTGTACAGTAGTCTAACTAGCTTTGTGATTTTAGATGAAAATTCAGACATCTTGGAAAAACTGCTGAAAATCAACTCTCATCTGGGTAAGAAAGTTCTTTAAAGTGGAACTAAATCTTTTTCTTTCTTTTTTTTCTTTCTTTTTTTTGCTACTAACGTGTGTACATGTTGTTTTAATATACAGGTGTTGTCTACTGTTCCTTTTTAATACATTTGAAAATTGTAACTTTTATCCTCTCCTTCAGTGTTTCGACAACTAGGTCTTCATCATTCATCAACCATTTGCCTGATGAAGGTCTAGTTGCCGAAAAGCTGCTGCTCCACAGTAAAGAAAACATACTTTTTACAAGACAGTGCAGGAGTCTTTTTATTTTAGTATAAAAACAGACAAAAAGTGGGTTCATGCTGCCTCTAATGGTGACAAACACCTTGTTGGAGGGCAGATGTACTTCCCAGATTAGCCGTTATGTTTGAAATACAGTTTTATTTCATTATTATAATATATTGTGTGTATTGTTGCAGGTGAAAAGCTGACTGAAGGAGACATCGCACAGAAGGATACATCAAGTAAGAAAGACTATGTTTCTAGTTCTTTATCATTATTATTATTATTATTATTATTACTTTTTTGTGCACATAAAGCAGATGTCACAGAAAGAAAAAAAAGAATTAGCAATAATGAAATGTGACCACTTCCCCTCCCCTAGCCCCCCTCCCCATTACCCTCCCCCACTGTCTCCAGAGAAAGGAAAGATAAATAATAGTACAAAATAATAATCATAATCATGCAGATAAAATGACAGGTAAATAAAGTAAGTAAATAAGTCTAGGGAAAATATATATACATGTAGATACGCACACATCATGCATATATTCATATATATCACATCTTACATGTACATATGTATACATACATATACACACACATGTATAATAAGTAATAAATGAGTTTGTTTTAGTTTAGTAATATTCCTTAGTGGTTTTCCAAGGAATTGTTTCCATATCTTGTCTCTGCTGTAATCTATAAGTCACTCTTTCATAGTTAGTGCAGTTTTAATCATCCATTCTAGCCATTTGTTGATAGATGATTAGTTGAATTCCATTCTTGAGTTTTCATTCAACATCCTGTTTTAAGAGCTATTATACAACAGAGAGTTTGTTCATACTGTAACTGTTTTGCAGGTATAATTCCAAGTAAACAAAGTCCAGGGTTTGTGCTCCATGTGACATTTAACAGTTCATTAATAAGTCTAATTATCTGGTCCCAAAAGGGCTTAACTCTGTCACATTAACATAACATACAGTATGTACCATTTTGCCAGTAGTGTGATTGTATCACCAACATTTATCATTGTCTTTTAGGTTCAGTCTAGCCATTCTGCTTGGAGTCCAGTAACATCGATTTAAGATTTTGTAATTAATTAGTTGTGTTTGAATTTCTTGAGATGTGAGAAACAAGTTGGATATTATGATTTGGCATTGCTCTTGTTCTATAGGAACATCTAGTTTGTTTCTAGTTCATTATTTGAGTTGGACAAACAAGTGGTCTGCATAGTCTACATAGTGTACATAGTCTACATAGTGTACATAGTCTACATAGTGTACATAGTCTACATAGTGTACATAGTCTACATAGTGTGCATAGTCTACATAGTCTACATGTTTTAGATTAAAGGCAGGGTATGTAGTCAGTGCTCTTGTCAGTATAAACAGGTACTGCAATCACAAATTAACATGACAGTGCATTGAAAGGATCCCATATGAGGTAAACATGGTCGAAATAAATATTGCTTTTGTTAGTAATTGTAATTGATTGATTTATTCTTATTTACAACCGTCACATTCAAAATGCACAACAACTTCACTACATCACAACTTCACAAACCTGATGTGATGTGCAGTAGTTTTATTAGTGGGATGCATGTTGATTGTGTTGTGATAGCGCTCTGGAGGGGGAGTGACTTAGCATATACAGCATAATCATGTCATGTGTTAATAGTTAATACCACAAAGTGTAATATCCCCTTTTTAGTGATTCTTTTTGTGTTGTGTAGATTTGCCCGATGGTGTGTTATCGAACGCTGCCCAGTGCGCTCTGAGCACCTGCAGGTGGCCCAAAGACGCAGATGGATTTGTGCATGTCCCTTTTGTTATCGACCGGACTTTTTGTGAGTACAACTTTTGTGCTTTAACTTGAATAAAAATCATCTAGGTCTGTCACTATAACAAGTTTAATGGGTGATATATTGCTGAAGAAAATATAGATGATAAACACTAATATTGAAACTATTTTATGCCAATGACACAGTAACCCTAAAGCTTTATCACCCTACATGAACCATATTGTTAAAGCAGACCTATTTTTGCTAAATTGACTTTTCAGAGATTTTAAGCACATTATAGGTGTATAGTCTCATTTACTCTCTTGAAATTATATTTGGAGTCATTCATGCATGTTTGAACAATCTTCAATATCGTATTTTCAAGACGTTATTTTTCTGATCGTTTTCACCGCCACCAGTGCACACACACCCTCTGCTCTATACTTACTCTGTTCTGCAGAGTAAGTATTCTCTGACAGGCCTAGGGTCTACTAAATGAATGTAAAAATAAATATTGCAATAAATAAATGAGTAAATAAAAAAAAATAATAATTTTATGTTGCAAATAAATGCCTTTGTTAAAGGGGAAAAAAGCTAATTAATTCTAAATAAACCATTGTAAAAATAAATATATGAATGAACTAATATAAATAAATAAATAAAATACATACATACATGTACAGATAAATCATTGAAGAAATTAATCAATTAATTCTAAGGTGTAAAAACAAGCATATTTTATTTTTTAGGCATTAGTGTGTAAATGCATTGAATTATTTACACATATATTCTATTTGTCATTTTTGTTCCTCTGTAAGGGTCATTTGACTAATGTGCTTTTTGTCTGCATACAGCTAAAAACAACGCTGATTTCATCCGTCAAGTCATGGCAGAGATTGAACAGGTCACTTGTGTCCGATTTGAGGAGCTCAATAAACGGGGAGTACGACAAACTGATGACTACATCATTGTAACTTCAGAAACAGGGTGAGTCCAGCTACATTTACATTATTAGGTCTTGTGTATATTTTGGTTAGATTGCATAAGGGTAGGGTAGACTTATTTCCTCTGGTTGATTACAGCATTCTTGATGATTTTAAAAGTCCTGTTTTCCATTTTTAAACAGTGGAAGACAGCTCACATTCTGAAGGGGTCATATGCAAAATCAACTTTTATGAGCTTTTAGCTCAGAGTTGTATTTGGATTGTTTCATACATGTTTCATACATGTTTGAGTAATCCTGTCCTATATTTGAGGCTTGCGTGTTCAGAAAATGTCTGGTTTTCCTACGATAACTTGTGTTTATTAAACAACACTGGCTCCAACGTTAAAAATGCCACTATGAAGAGGTGAGGCACATTTCTATTATTAAACTGTTCAAGGTGAATTTTGCTGTTTACAATGAACAAAATGTAAAATAGTGATCTAAATGTAAGTACTAGACAAAAAGCAAATTAAAATCGAACTGGCGGGACAGTGGGTAGCACTCATGCGTCACAGTAAGAAGTTTCAGGGTTCAGTCTTTGATTCGCTTGGGGCTTTTTGTGTGGAGTTTGCATGTTCTCCCTGTGTCTGGGTGGGTTTCCTCCAGGCACTCCGGTTTCCTCCATTGACTCAATGCACCGTAGGTACCCTCCAGCTAAGATATTCCTGACCAAGCCTGTCAAAAAGCCAACTTTCGCTGAGTCAAGGGTGACACCCAGCAGTGCCATCTGTGACACATGCATTTACTCTTTTGTGTAACACCACACTCCCACGGGCACACTTCATTTATTTTACCCAAGTGCAGGCCATACATAATTTCAGCTCACGTGACAAAAACACACACTCCATTGGGCGTCAACACAAGTCATATGGGGATTATTGACTTAAATAATAACGAAATGAGAGCACGTCAACACCTCCACTTACTCACATTTGAAAAACACAAATACACTACACACACCTATAACATGAACACTTATTTTATAGTGCACCAAACATAAACATATCAAACTTAAACAACTTTAACAAGTTTGGTTGCTATTTTGGTCAAAATCTACAACCATCTCCTTGATGCAATAGTACTCCAAAATAGTATTTGATATCCACACAGCTTATGTACATTAAGTGTACATGACACTACAGTGCAGTGCATACAGTGCTTAAACTGTTTGTTAAGAAAACATTTTGTAAATGAAAATAATATTCATAAGAAGGTCTTGAATACAAATTTGTACACTTCATGAATGAGGCCTACCTACATGATTCCATGGAAATAGACAAAAAGAATTGTTATTTAACAGTTCAAAACCAAAGACAGAATGAAACCCAAGATACAGGTTAGCAGTGACTATGTAGAATAAGATATTAATTGTTGTTTGTGGAGGAAATTATGATTTGCTAATTGCATCTATTAACATTGTGATTTTGATTTGGTTAATCTTGCAGTGCTATTGTGAATCTGGTTATTGATATTTTGGACCTCCACTGACCCTCCCTCACGTGTCACTGCTGTAGTTGAGTAGGAGGCAAGAGGTTGCTCTCTGTCTGTTGTCCCTGTCTGACTTGTCCCTGTCCAACAGGTGCTGGTCGTACGTTGGCCGTATTGGAGGCCAGCAGAAGCTGTCCCTGCAGCAAAGCGGATGCATTTACCGTCAGATAATCCAGCATGAATTCTTCCATGCTCTGGGCTTCTTTCACGAGCACACCCGGAGCGACCGCGACAACCACGTCATCATCCACTATGAGAACATAAACCCAGGTATGAACATGTGTTTGTCCACTATGAGAACATAAACCCAGGTATGAACATGTGTATGTCCACTATGAGAACATAGACCCAGGTATGAACATGTGTATGTCCACTATGAGAACATAGACCCAGATATGAACATGTGTATGTCCACTATGAGAACATAGACCCAGATATGAACATGTGTATGTCCACTATGAGAACATAGACCCAGATATGAACATGTGTAGGTCACATGGTAAAGGAGCTGCAAAAAGTATTTGATCAACAAAACTTTCATCCAGTTGACAGAATTGAATTTCTCCTTTTCTATGGATCCTCCCTGGATGACTGAGGAATTGCGCAAACATAGAAAAACATGCAACATATTTACAATTGATAAGTATATGTTTCAAAATATTATAAAAATAGATATTTTTACCAAAGAGTCTCATCATTTCATTTCATCATAAATAACAGAAACTTTACTGAAGACTAGGTCTGCGAGACACTGTTTATGCGCATCTCTGCCTTAACACATTTAAGACAACATTTACTTGATTTGAACAAATTAATGGAACAATATACAGGCTGCAGTTTTACTGTTTTAGAAAAAGTACTACAATCCCATCTGAACCTGAGTAGCCAGAACGTTAATCTGCAGATAGAGACACATCCAAGCTTGTCTCATTCTCAGTATATGGACAGCCCTCATGTAAAAGCTCAGAACCTCCAGAATTCCCTCCTTTAGCTGCAGAGGCTGCACTAGCATTGATCAATGTTTGACTGTAGGAGCTGGGGTTTAGCTCGTGACCATTCAGATCAGAGAGGTTTCAACTAACTGGATTTCAGCACTGAAACTGGCAACGCAAATGAGAGACTCACTCTGATTTCTGACTGGAAATTGGAAGATAAACTTGTCAGTTTTTTTTTTTAAAGTAAGAATAAATCAACGTTACAATTGTTATCAGTAAGAGCTGTATTTGAATTACTTGAGCATGTTTACTTCGTGTCTGGGAACACATGAGGTCAACAAGGGTCAAGTTTGTGGAATTTCAAATCAAAATCAAAATTACACTCAGTTCCTTTAAATAATAATCTGTTAAAATTAAAATAAACACTGATGCATACCAATGAAAACAGTATGGTACAAGAGGTATGCATTGTTTTTATTCATTTCTTGTCTTTGTGTTTTTTAGATTACATCCATAATTTCGATCTTCAGAACACCAACAACCTCCAGACTCCATATGATTTCCTATCTGTGATGCAGTACAGCAAGTAAGTTTTGTTTTTTTTTTTACAAGCAGGAATACACAAGTATAGCCCCAATATGACTGTTGAAGTATCAGAGGTGGGTAGTACTTTTCAGAGTAGCCTAGCAGCATATTTTTACACCTACTTGAGTAATATTTTCATTGAAGTAGTGCTCTTACTTAAAAGTAAAATTTATGGTTACTCTTCCCACTGTGAGGAAGTTTACAAGTGACAAATGCTTTATGTTGACATTGACAACATGAAATGATGAATGATGATCACATTTTGAGCTATATCCCTTTTTTTTTTTTTTTTTTTTTTTCCCCCCTCAGTAATTCCACTCATTGCCGGACGCTAAACCAGGTCTAAACCAGGTCTAAACTAGGTCTAAACCAGGACTAAAACAGGACTAAAACCAGGTTTAAACTATTTCTCAAACAGGATTTAACAGGAGTAAACCATGCTGTGCGGACAGTGTCTCCTCCTCTTCTATCAATAATATTTTTATTTTGGTTTAGTAAAGTCTGGGCTTTTTATTGTCTTTTAGCAGACAAAACTTCTTATGTTACGATATCCTGGTCTTTGCTTCTCAAATCAAGTAATCCAAAGTATTCAGATTACGTTACTCACTTTAAGTAATTTAATGGATTCCGTTACAAACTACACTTTGGGCTGTGTAATCTGTAATCTGTAGGGGAATACATTTTAAAAGTAACCTTCCCAACACTGATTACATTACATTATATTATATATTTGAGAAAAGCTTTTGACACTGACAATATGAAATGATTTGAACATTTGTGTTTCTGGAAGCGTTCCTTCACATATGATTTAGTTTGTCTCATTTTTGTCTCTGACCTTTGAAAATACAAGGTTTTGTTCATGTTTTGAATTAGAATGACAAAACATTAAATAAACCCACCTCTGTGCAATCTACATTTTCAGAAAACTTCTAAATTAATTATTTTTTCCTTCACAGTCGGGCATTCAGCATCAATGGCCAAATGACCATTTCAGCTAAAGACAACCCTACTTTACTGTTTGGAGGTGCTACGGCCATGAGTGAGAATGACGTACTGCGCGTCAACAAACTCTACAGCTGCACCGCCTACCTGCCCTAGAGAGAACATGCTGCCAGCGGCCACCAGGGGGCGCTCTCACATTAATACCCAATCATGTCACCGAGTAATTTGCTATGATTTAGTTTCTCTGTTTGGGCCGTGGTTTGGGTGCTTTTGCATTCTGTATTTTTGCTAGAAGTAGAAGCAGTTTTTCTCATTATCCTTCTTCATAATCAGAAAATTTCATGTCTAATCTGTCCACATTTTTTAAGATAACTGAGGTTAACTGTATACGTACTAGCTACAATACTGTGACATTTTATTTAAGTTAAGTTTTATTTAATGGTCTAATCTGTAGCCTGTGTCTTATTTCACTAATAGCAGTAGTCTGAAAGAGGAACATTTTAATAAAGTATTGATTTTTGTGACTACAGCTGTTGTCCTGGTGTAGTGTTTTTATCTGTAAATACTCTCATTGTGGATCAACTTAAAGGAAACACACAAAAGGCCAATATGACGTTAATTTCTGAACTGTGTTATAATGTAGTTTCCTCATCACAAACAGACCTGGAGTTGTGTTTTGTTTCATTCACACATGTTTAACACACAAACCCTGCATATTTAGTTTAGTTATTATATATTAGTTATTTTCTCAGACAGAAAACACTCCACCTTGTGATGTGGTAATAGTGGAAGTGCTCCACTGTGTTTTTAAACTCCATACACCTTTACTAGAATCTTTTACACATTTTCAGCCCTGAACATGTCAATCTCTGCAGCACAAAAAAGAAAAGGGTAAAAAGTAGCTGTTAACTTGAAAAATGCTGCTTCATGACATCACAAGATGGAACAGAGGATTTTGACCTTGGAGAACTGGACAGACTAATAAACCAGGATTATTCAAAAATGTGTGAATGAAACAAAACACAACTTCAGGTCTGTTTTGATGGAGTAACAGCATTATAACATAGCTGGAAGGTACTGTGTTGATAGTGGACTATTGAACCATTAAATAATGTTATAATTGTGTTACCTCCTCAAAATCTTACCTGGAGTTGTGTTTTATTTCAGTCACAGATTTGAGTGACCTTTTATTATTAGCCTGTCTAGATCTCAAAAGCTCAAAACACTTCATTTTGTGATGACATCACCTTTTACCTTTTGTTCAGTAGAGATTGGAAATCCAATTTATCCAGTCCAATTTATACAAAATGATTCTAGGAAGGTATATGGAATTTAGAAACACAGAGGAGCACTTTCTCTATTGCCACATGACATCGCAAGGTGGAACAGCGTTTTCTGTTTGAGAGAAGAGCCTAAACATGCAGGGTGTGTGTGTGTTAAACATGTGTGAATGAACGAAAACTCAACTCCAGGTCTGTTTGTGATGAGGAAACAACATAATAACATAAATCAGAAAATAGCGTAATATGGCCCCTTTACAGACAGACAGACAGACAGACAGACAGACAGACAGATAGACAGACAGACAGACAGACAGATAGATAGATAGATAGATAGATAGATAGATAGATAGATAGATAGATAGATAGATAGAGATTTGTCCCAGTTTTACACAAGAAATATCCCTGGTGTCCCTATTTTTGAGTAATTTGGAATTTGCCATCAGCAAAGAGAGGCTTAAATTGTCATTTCTTTAGGTAAAATACAGAAAAGCTGCTTCAAATAAAGAAAATGTGACTGTATTGATTCATATTAATCATGAATGGGCCGAGTGCAGAACAATTTTCCTTAATTACGCACACTACTGAAAATCTGGTCACCCTACGACAGATAGATAGAAAACTTTATTATTATAGGAAATTCGTAATTCTTTAAAGCTCACAAGAGTCAATTTCGTGTAATATAGGACGTTTAACAGTCTGTCGCGTTGCCTGTGCACCTCACCACCAGCCAGCAGGTGTCTCTCCACATCTTAAAGCTTTTGGACCGCGGCACTGTGACCCGTGACCCGCGCGTCTGCGTCAGCGCGCTGGCACAACACGGAACATGGCGGCCAGCTCCCAGCGCAGTCCTCCTCCTTTCCCCGCATCCGAGGAGCCAGAGACCGCGGGTTGTGGCGTGGCAGACGGAGACAGCGACGAGGGGGAGGACATCTTCGTCAACAATGTACGTGTGATGAGTTTTGAGACGATATTTTAAGCCGATGTGTGTTTTTTCCGTGCGCCGCTGTGCCAAAAGCTGCTAGCCTCTTTATGCGCGCTGACTGACCCGCATCCAAAGCCACAGATATCAGACTAATGGCAAAACAAGACAGATTAAAGAACTTTGAACTGTTGGGTAATTAAAATTTTGTAATGTATGGTTGTATTTTATGATTTGACAGGCTGATTAATTCATTATCTTGTCTAAAGCAGCCTAAGCGTCAGTTCAAGTTAGTTTTTTATCTGTTGCTGATGTGGCACCACCCAGACAACTCCTTTCACTAACGGTACTGAGATGTGATGTCTTAACTGTGTTCACTTTAGATTAGAGTGAATGAAGAGTTAAAATATCACACAAATCGGCTTACCTCTGGTTTCACTCACCTGTAGATGTGCAGCGTTCATAGACCAAAGCATTTCTTATTGTATTTATTTGTAAAGGGACAGCATTTAAAAAGTAAATATGTAAAGATTATAGCCATAAGGACTAATCTCTCCACCCTCAGTCCCAAGTAGATGTCAAACGGTCTACAGGGCAGAAAAAAGTACAGCAACCATCACACAACAGCAGCACACTCACTATACACACAGTTCATTTCAGATAGTTCATGTGAAGTTAGAAGATAAAAGTTAAACCAACAACCCCTCAGTATAAAAGTGTCATTTTGTTAAAGGTGCACTGTGTTGCTTTTTTGGTGGGGGGTGGGGGCTACCATGAATGATTGCGTTTTATCTACCATGCATTCCTTCTATCATGTGTGCTTGTAGTGCTCAAACATACCTTTAAAACAGAGACTCCTTTGTTTGGTTACTTCTCCACAGATATAGCGGCATCTCCTGCTTGCCTTTCTGGAGAGAATTTGTTTAATGCCATACACTGGAATATTCTAGGCAAAGCACTTGTCCGAAACGGCACAAAGCAGTCACCTCTAGAGCCTGCTCTTGCTGTCCAGTTTGTTGTCTTTTCACAAAGTCCTTTACAGCATGTGGAGAGAGATTGTTAAAAACTTTGTATACCAAAATAAAATCTGCATATTTGATTGTGTTGTCCCAATTAAGAAATTTGTATTTGTCAAGTATTCTGCAATAGTGATAATTTGTGAGCATTTTGTCTAATACTTTTAGTATAAATAGATTCAGATAATTAACAGTAGTTTTGCTTGTCAGAGTCCAATAGTAATGCAGTAATTTAAGTGGGGTAACATCACTGCATTTAAATACATAGTTGAAGAGTTGGTTCATACAGGTACAGTATCAGTACCATTGAACTTGCAAGCATCACAGGAGAGCTTAAAATTAAAATGGAATGCACTCAGGCCTACATTTTATTCACAATAAGACAAATTGCAACTGGCTGTCTCTTTTCTACATAACTGTAATTAATTAATCTGTGTGATGGGCCTGGAGAAAAGTGTACAGCTGGAAAAAATAGCTTTAAGCCAAGTTACAAGTCAAATCTGTGGAGAGGCGACCCTGCTCACAGTAAGAATGCAAGTTTTACAGCGCAATAATCACATATGAATAAATAACAGGTAGAAACATTTAAAGCCATTTTATGAAATGTTCCCGGCAACAATAGCATCTAAATGGTGTTACAGCTACAGGGTGTGAATCTTAAATGTGTTTACTTTAGATTAGAGTAAATAAAGAGTTAAAATAGCACACAGGTTGGCTTCTCTTGGGTCTCACTCACCTGTATATGTGTAGCCTTCATGGACCTAAGCCAGGGGTCTCCAACCTGTAGTTCGGAAGCTACCAGTAGCTCTCCACCCCCTTCCAAGTAGCTCGCCAAGAGATTTTTGAATTATATGTATTGTGCTGAATAACTAAAATCTGATTAATTACCATTGTAAATGTGTCATTTTGATGCCTAACTTGTGCACTAATAAATGAATAATGGTTTATGTTTAATAGGCATCTAACTGTACCCCATCTAAAAATATTGAAATACCAATATATCATATAATTTAATGTGAGGATACAGTATGATATTTGGGATTGCAGTATCAATATATCGCCAAGAGTATTTTTTTATTTTTTATTTTTTTGCTTGATTGACACATGATTTAGACTTTATTTTTTTATTTAACCATATCAAATCAATTTGAACTATATCATATCGAATCGAAAGTGCACTGTATTGAGATATGTATTGTATCACGGTCAGTGTATCAAGGTATGCATTGTATCTGCAACTTCTGAATGATACTCAGTCCTATCTAAAACTTGCCATTTGTCTTCTACTTTGTTTGGAGACCCCTGACCTAAGCATTGGTTCATACAGTTATAGTACCAAGGGTGACTGAAAGCATCACAGAGGAACTTGAATTTAATAAGGTTGTCTTACATACTTTCTTCAGAATAAGACAAATTTTAACAGGTTCCCTTTTTAACAGCTGGAAAAATGAAATGTAAAATGGGGTTGGGGCTCCCAGAAATCATGCACATATATCACACGTGTTCTTGCATTGCCTATGCCACGTTGTATGGTTGTGTTATATTTGGTGTGTGTAGAAATGTTGCAAACCTTAATGATGCACTGCAGGATTTTTTCCTGTTGAAGGTCTTGCTTGTCTTCATGGATATGGAGCACATGCTAGAGTGATCATTCAGTGCACATTATCCCATTGAAAATGTGATTAGAGGTATGTAGCAGCCTGTTGTCTTAAATGTGTTGTGTTGTATTGCAGAGTAAGCCTGCTGCTGTGAGCCGTGGTGTCTCTAAGCCTGAGCAGGATGAGCCCCCAGACCTGTTCAGTGAAGAGGCCCACAGCACTGCACCGCCCAGCAACACTACTACTGCCAATGCCCAGTCTAACGGAGTGCACTCGGACGACGACAGCGACCTGTTTGCTGGTCAGAATTCATCAGACTTTATCTTTTACGTTTTAGCCATTAGTCTAGAGGCCAGCGCGCGCACACACCAGAGGCCAGCGCGCACACACCAGAGGCCAGCGCGCACACACCAGAGGCCAGCGCGCACACACCAGAGGCCAGCGCGCACACACCAGAGGCCAGCGCGAACACACCAGAGCATGGAACACAAAGCTCACATGTCACAAAATGTATGTAGCCTGCTGTCTGGGTTGCCAGTACCTTAACCTGCAGATTGAGGACACATACAAGTTTTTCTTTCTCAGTGCCATGCCTCATTTGAAAACACAGAACTTCCAGAATCACTGGGCTGCAGAGGCTGCACAAGCACTGACTAATGATTGACTGTAAAATCAAAATCTTTCATACTGCTCCTTTTAAAAATGGCTTTAAAACAACTCTTGGGGACTCCTTAAATATGTTGATATGATGATAAGGCAAGTGCATTTTTATCGACTGTCTACACCCAGTCGTGTGACAGTAATGTGGTGCTGATGAGGATTTACGCTCTTGCAGCCTGTGCCACAGCGTGTCCCTTTGTCTCCCCATGTGTTTACAAGTTTTGACTTAAATCTACACAATTTGACCAAAAGTCCGGCATCTTCTTCCCGCTGTCTCTGTGTGTGCGGAGCTGTTGTTCTCCCGCTTCCCCCGCTCTCCCTCTCTCTCTGATCTAGCTGCAGCTTCTCTCCTTTTCTTATCATTATAATACAAGTTAGGGAAAGTAAACGACTCATGATTTATGAGTAAAACTGAACAGCTCATTTAGGGCACGAATATCGTACGTGTTTCTGTTTATAGCGGTAACGGGCGTGCATGTGTGTCTGCTGCTAACGGTAATGCACATGCTTTTGGGGTTAATATATTGAACAAACTCATTCCAACATTTAAATGTGGATTTCTCCGGAATTATTGAGCCTATCAACATGAAACAAAAATGGTAGTGGTCATAACACGCTGCTCTTTATACCTGAAGTCCACATGTCTGTGTTTTTAATAAAATAGAAGAGGATTGAATCAGAAATCGAAGTCAAGGAATATATGGGGGAAAAAAAATCAGGATTGTTTTTTTCCCCATATCGCCCAGCCCTATTCTGAATATAAATTTTGCATACCTGTATTCTGGTACAGTTACTCTCTCATTTGCTGGTTTTGAGAATACAAATACTTAAAAAATCAAGGAAAAGGAATACATGACAGTACATAATTTTGGCTTTGAATTGCATATTATTAGTACTTTTACTGAGCATGTATGTGTAACTTTTCATCTCTAATTAGACATAAATTGATGCATAGTAAAAAAATAAAAAAAAAGTGAAGTTGTTTGTAATTATATGTCATGTTTTTAGACTATAATATAATGCAACTCAGTGTAAAAGTATTCCACGTATAGAGAATACAATACTCTGATTGACCCATGTTACAAAATACATTTTAATGCAGGTATTTTCAAAATATTCTTCCCGTCATTGGTTGAGGAGGTTATTGAGGAGGGAGTTGAGTGAGAGATGAGTTCCCCGAAGCAGAGAGAAGCAGAGAGGAACTGTAGCATTGCTGTAGCTCTCGTCACACTCCTCAAAGCTTACAGCAGTGCCTTTGTGTGTCACAGCAGAGACGTGACCGTACTGATAGCAGAAGTGCCAAAAGCAACATGTTTTTTCAGTCTGCATGAAAATAATGGAGGCCGCTGTTCTACTACACTTAACTTTAACCATGTCATAAAAATGTTTCTTTTTCACGATGAACACTACCACCATTCTTCTAATAAAAGACCTCCAGTCACTGTCATCAGATCTGACAGTACACAGTTATTATTATTATTAAAGGTCAAATATCAGACTAAATGGATTATTGTAAGCTTTAAGTCATGTTATAATACTGTTACCACCTCAAAAACATACATACTAATTTTGTTTCATTCACACATGCTTGAGTAACTATGGTTTATTAGTCTCTGTATTACTCCAAAACTCAAAATGTATGTGTGAATGAAACAAAACAAAACTCAAGGTATGTTTTGATGAGGAAATAACACAACAGATCAGAATATAGCCAAGCGTATAGGCCCTTTAAGGATTTATAAGCATATTTTAATATTGGTTCCTTTGTGTGTTTTCCTCAGATGCCCGTGTGGAGCTGAGCGCTGATAAGAGCAGCTCTAGCTCTGCTGATCCTCGGACCATGCCCTTCACACAGGGCCCAGCTTCTGTACAGCCCACCTCCTTAGAGCAGGTAACAAGCCACTCCCTACACATAGTATTGTGGGTTTTCGGAAGATTCGGTGCGTGTCCGAGAAAGAAGCACAAAAGATGGAAGGGTCCGAGAAACAGGCCACTTTATTTCGTCATTTTCCATTGAGAGGGATTCAGTTTTGATTACCAAGTACAGCTGTCACCCCGGAACGACGCCTCTGCCCAACTCACAATGAGGGGTAGCTTTATACCACACATCTGACAAAACATTAACTTGTTGATTTAGCATATACAGCAAGAAAATGAACAATAAGGCTGACCCAGTACACTTTATCATGGGTGGGTACATGCCACGGGGTTCACATACATCATTTTTCTTCTTCGTGGCATCTCAAAGTACAGAAAAACATGTCTTCAGATAGTCATACGTGTTTTTCACCCTGTTGTCATTCCAAGGTACAAAATATTGGGTGAATCAGCATGGTCAACACATAATTCAGCATGATCAACACATGATATTTCCCACAGTATCTATTTCAGACATCTCAAACTCAGGCCCAGGTGCCAAATTTGGCCTGCGATATAATCATATTTGGCCCGGGAGATCATATCAAATCTGTATTAGAGCTGCCCACCGGCTACAGATAGACTATAGAGACATTATTTATTTAAAATGTTATTTTATATTATGCTTGTTCTGGATTCAAAACTAATATTAAACATTTATTTTAATAAGAAAAAGCTTAACATTACATATCAGATGTTGTTGAAATTTTTCAATAAATATTTAGTCTGGCCCAAGACTTAGTCCCAGTTTTTTATTTTGGCCCTCTGTGTATATAAGTTTGACACCCCTGATCTATTTGAATGAACAAATGTCTTAAGGATTATGGCTTCTTCTATTAGTGGTGTCACAGTATTCAAATTTCAAACTCTATTTCGATAGACTCGATATTCACTACTCATTTTAATACTACGATGATAATTAAAAAGTCCTTATTTAGACAATAGAATGTGCTGAACACCAATTTCACTCTTGTGAGCTTTTGGCCATGTTAATATGTTGTTACCCCCTCAAAAACATACCTGGAGTTGTATTTTGTTTCATTCACACATGAGTAACTCCTTATTATTAGTCTCCAAAGCTCAAAATGCTCTTTTCCATTGTCATGAAGCAGTACTTTTCAAGTTAACCGCTGCTTTTTACCTTTTGTTCAGTAGAGATTTGCAATTCCATCACTGAAATCATCCAAATGAGGAATATTATTATGTGCTCTTGTACTTGTACTAATGCAGCTCAAGATTATTCATTATCATCATGTGAATGTGACTTTTTTAGTATTGATACCTGCTCAAATGAGTATCTATTTTCCATACTAGTTTTAGTAACGATTAATATCTGAGATTCAATACTTTTGACAACCTCTACCTCTTACTTGTCACCTTTCAGTAATGTGCATTTCCTCTTCACAGCTGGAGGAGGAGGAAGAAGCCAAGGACAGTTTCGATGTGGATATCTCTGTCACCAGTCCCGAGAAAGTTGGTCAGTCTATGACAAAGATTATGACAAATTAGCCACATGCTTTCAGTTTTGCATGATTCACTTTTTAACTTGTTGAATGTTTATTTCCTCTGGACATGTCCTCACAGGTGACGGCATGAATGCATATGTGGCCTACAGAGTGTCCACAAGGGTAAGTGTCTCTTTTCTCCATAAATCCACCCGTTCCTTGTCTAAAGGCCGCCACACACTACAGGAGAATTTGCCCGATTTAGGCTGCGATTTGCTTCTCACTGAATTAGGGGAAACATGACCCGACTTTTGTCTTTGTGTGCGAACAGAGCATCGGGGCAGAGGAATGACTGACACAGAGGCACAAACTCAGGAAACACCAAAAATAATGAGAAGACTTTATTACTCAATTCTCATAAAGCTGTACATTTAAACTGCAACATCTCATCTACATTGTCCTTTAGAATTTGTCCTGACACCCAAATAATGACACAGAGCTGTTAATCCAATTTGAAAAGTTCTTTAAAAGTAAAAATGTGAGATTAACTCCACATGTATCTGTTTACATCCACACAGTGCACAGATGGGGGTGAAGCTGCATATTGGTGATGGTGACTTTACTTCCTGTGTACAAACTTTTGTGCATTAGTATCATCATGTATCTTAAGTGTTGCACCACATAACACAATTTTGACTTTTAAACTAGAAGTGCAGTGTTCTGATCTTTTGAACACTTAAGAGTCTCAAAGTGAATGGTTTTACTGTAGACAGGAAACGGCTGACACGACGTGCGCTCACAGCTTTTAACCTGTGGTGCACAGCCATATCCCGCAGCAGTCTTTGCGATCTGAGATGTAAAATCAGATATGATTCTCTTCTTGTCTGTGGTCTGCCCTTATTGTAGGATGTATAAAAGACTAAGACTAAAAAATCTTTAAAAATCTTTAAAAATCTTGTAGTGTGTGGTGGACTTACAGAGTCTATTCTAATCTGACACGTGCTGTTCTTAGACGTCCCTGGCCATGTTCAAGAGTAAAGCCTTCTATGTGAGGAGGCGCTTCAGTGACTTTCTGGGTCTCTATGAGAAGCTGTCAGTCAAACAGTCTCTTCAGGGCTGCATCATCCCTCCTCCGCCCGAGAAGAGCGTCGTAGGTTAGTGTCACACTCATGTTGTTGCTTCAAGTGCAGTCACATGGCTAACCTACAGAGGCCAGATTGATAGGCATTCTTGATTTGAACTCACTGAAAAGAGTAAAGAAAAGCCAGAACATTCACACGAATACTTCAGGCTGATTGGGTGTGTAGTGAAGTGTAACAACAGCGGAACTAGCCGAGAGGTCAAACTTTTGTCAAATCTGGTTGAGAGAAACACACAAACTGCTGCCCTCTGCACATTTAAAAAAAAAAAGTCTATATGTCTGCTAAAATTGACTGTTGGCGTCACCATGTTTGTTTCTCACAAACATCACAGAAATTCATCTGTGCAAAATGGCACCAATAACTGAACATACGATATTTTTCCAGGTGTGCATCGATTATTGATTTTTTACCTTGGTTCGTTTGTGCTCACCGAGAAGTTTAGTTTAGTTTATTTGTTTATATATCAGGGACAATGCACATAAAAAAATTTACTACACAAAGAGGTCATATGCAATACAATATAATGTATAGTGATGCAATCATTCATCCATCCAGTAAATCAATAAGTAAAACTATAGTCCCACTCAGTCTGTCACCACATCCATACACTATTTACATATTTACAGTTCATATTGCTGTATTCATACATGACAGAAGACATGAAACATTTTGACAATGCTAACAGAGTTTGTGTGGCCAACAGGAATGACCAAGGTTAAAGTGGGAATGGATGACCCGTCGTCAGTGGAGTTTGTGGAGAGAAGAAGAGCTGCTTTGGAGCGGTAAGAAATTTGTATGTTTTCTGCGTAATAAAGTTGTGAGAATATGAAAACATAATGATAGTCGTAAAAGTATAGTTATGTTAATCATCATTGTAATTTTACATTAAACAAACTTCAATCAACCATTTTGTATACAGCCTTGACATATACAACATATATCATAATGTAGATATATTAACTACATTTTTTTTTTTTTCTTTCCCAGATACCTTCAGAGAATCGTTTCTCACCCCATTCTCCTGCAGGACCCAGATGTGCGGGAGTTCTTGGAGAGAGAAGATGTATGTTTCTTTTTATATGCTTACTGAGTCTATAAAGATGAATTCAAATTACAACAATTTAAAAATCTAAATAAATGCACATTGCACATTTTAAACATCAGCAGCATCAACAACAAATGAAATCACATACCATTCAGAACATGTTTAAGCAGGAGATACCAGGATATTTTGTTCTGTGTGAATTGTGACCATTGATACCATTGACCTTAATCTTTCAGCTCTAATAAAACATATTTATTTATGCCTGTGTGAAGCTCCCCAGAGCAGTGAACACCCAGGCCCTGAGTGGAGCCGGCTTCCTCAAAATGATCAATAAGGCCTCAGATGCTGTCAACAAGATGACCATCAAGATGAATGAATCGGACACAGTAAGACTTCTCTTCATAAACACACAATACTGAAATTTCAAATTCAATTTCAATACTAAGGAATAGAATCAATACTCAATACTGATTCTGATACCACAATGATAATAAAACACTCTTTAGACAATAGAAAGTGATTTTCAGCATTTAATCATAGCACTTTATTTTATATTCCCATGTGGCTTTATATCTGTGTAATTCCTCAGTTTTCCAGGTAGGTTCCATAGTGGTCCATGCACATATACTAGTCTATGTACTCTTATACTTGTGCTTATACAGTCCCTGACAAAAGTCTTGTTGCTTATCCATTTTGTAGAAACAAAAGCTTATAACCTGAATGAATCGACTGGTTTTAGAAATGTCTCATATGAAAGCTAAGACCCTCCCAAATTATGCTCAATATACTCAAATAAATTTGCTTCACTGAAGAAAGATTGATCATTTAATGAACACAGAAAGGGCAGATTTTGGCAAGACAAAAGTTTTGTTGCCTACAGAAAATTTAACAAATTATTTACTTCAAATACAAAAATATGTTGCATAACATCAGTGAATGAAGTAGTGGTGCTGTGAGATCTATATTTAATATCATGTATGACTTCCATGAGCTTGAAGGACGCATCCATGCGGTTCAACAATGATTCATACAATTTGTTGATGAAGTCATCAGGAATGGCAAAGAAAGCAGTCTTGCATGCCTCCCAGAGTTCATCAAGATTCTTTGGTTTTGCCTTCCATGCTTCCTCTTTCATTCTACCCCAGACATGCTCCATGATGTTCATGTCTGGTGACTGGGCTGGCCAGTCCTGGAGCACCTTGATCTTCTTCGCCTTGAGAAACTTTGATGTAGAGATAGAAGTATGCGATGGAGCACCATCCTGCTGCAAAATTTGACCCCTTTTATGGTTGGGAATGTAAGAGGTACCTAATACTTATATTATATATTGATATTTTAGGTTATTGATATTGCCTTGAACCCCGCAAATGTCTCGCACAGCCCCATACTGGATGTAACCCCAGAGCAGGATTTTTCCGCCACCAAACTTAACTGTTTTCTGGGTGAATCTGAATGCGGCTCCAGTAGGTCTCCTGCAATATTGTGGCGGCTGTGATTAATTAACCGAGGATTCATCTGAGAAATCCACCTTCTGCCACTTTTCCAGTGTCCATCCTTTTAGCAGGCTTGGGCCTTGGCAAATGCCACACAGTTTTTAAATTGCCTTTTGTTTAGTGCTGTTTCTGTGCAGATTCGACCATGGAGGCCATTTCGAGACAGAATTCTACAAACTGTTGTGGTTGACACAGGGACTTGAGGTGACCAGGCCTGGTGGAGCTCTGCTGCAGTGGAAAAGGGGCTGGCCTTGGATTTTCGAATCAACAAACGGTCCTCCCGAGCAGTTGTCTTGCGGGGTCTGCCGGACCTGGGCTTGTCAAAAACATCTCCAATCATTTCAGTCTTTTTCTTATTCTTTGTACTTGACGCTGAGACACATTGAAGGTGTCAGCCACGTCTGCAGTTTGTCTTCAGCCTCTTGATAATTAATGCTTTGGTCTACAAGGCATGTTGTCAGAGGTCAAGTTGCAGTTGATGTGAAGGTCTGGTGTGCTGGGGTTCTTTTAACACACCCACTAATTGATTGATCAGTAACTGATCACAGGTGAGGCTGTAATCAGGATTGGGTGCATCATATGACAAGGCAACAAGACTTTTGTCTTGCCAAAATCTGACCTTTCTGTGTTCATTAAATGATCAATCTTTCTTCAGTGAAGCAAATTATTTGAGTATATTGAGCATAATTTGGGAGGGTTTTAGCTTTCATTTGAGACATTTCTAAAACCAATCGATTAATTTCAAGTCAGGTTATAAGCTTTTGTTTCTACAAAACGGATAAGCAACAAGACTTTTGTCAGGGACTGTACAGCTCAAGATCTTGCTAAAGCTATTCAGGAAAGGTTCATTTCTGTCCTATGAATGTAACTTTTTTAGTATCTCAATGCCAGTTAAAGTATTGATTACTATCTGATTTTTATTACTTTTGACAACACTTTGACAACACAGTAAAGCTGCTCTCATCCTACACACACTGATGTACTGATGGATCATGTGGGGAGTACAGGCTGTTCAACATGTACATGGTTAGTGCAGAATGTGGTGCATGAGGCAAGATGGTGATTTCTAGAACATTGACCCCATAAATCTACTATTCCTTTATAGAAAAACCTCACAGAAATACATACAAAGATGTTTAATTAAAATGATCATTCTAAACATAAACTGACCACTCTTCTCTGTCTGGTTGCTCAGTGGTTTGAGGACAAGTTCCAGGAGGTGGAGAATGAGGAGCAGCAGCTGAGGAAGCTCCATGCCGTGGTGGACTCTTTGGTCAATCATCGGAAAGGTCAGTTCACATTGGTGATCTTCTAACTTCTGTACTCCTGTGTGTTAAGTTTAGATGGAGCAGACAAAAAGATTGTTTATCTGCATGTTTTGTAGCATGTTTTCCCCCCAATGTATTTATTTTGGTTTTCATTAAAAAAGTAAGGCCCTTCCCCACAACACACACACACACGCATATACGGAAAAAAAATGAAAGAAACACTTTGAAAACACAAAGACACCACCCGTCGTCTCATTACGTGGGGGCCACATAAGATATTTAGAAGCATTTTGAGTTGCAGAAATTTAATTTTGGTAAAATGGACAAGCCTGCCACATTATTATTTCACTTTGATTTTCAGGGTGTCTATTACATTTACACTATACATTAAATGAGGTGTCATCTGTTTGTTCCTAAGACATTGCCCTGTTCTTATTTGTATAAATAACCAGCATATTTATTTCTACACTGAGATCTGATGTGTTTTCAAAGTGTTCCTTTAATTTTTTCCACAGTGTACACATGCATACATACATGCATACATGCATACATGTATATGTACAAATACAATCATTCAAGGAAATATTCCTTTGTAGTGTGCTTGGTAACATTAGTGCATAGGCCTTCATGCACGTGGAAGGTTGTGACAAGTAGGAAATCTGGTGTAAAAATCTGTCAATTCAGCATGCCACTATTTTCCTGTGCTAACTCCTTACAGCCAGATGGAAAAAACTGACGAACATAATGCATAATCAGATGCTACAAAGAAGACACATGCTTGTGTCTGCTATATAGTTATAATCTATGACACCCGTGGACAGTTTTGTTATAATTTGCACAGTTTAAATAACAATATTCATCTAAACAACTAAAAGAAACAAGTCCGTTGACTTCTGTGTTAGAAAACTGTAGTGGCCAGAAGTCGATTTTGCATAATAGCTCTGCTTTAATACAAGCTCGTGTCTCCACCTGAGACATAAGCTTATTCTACTAAAAGTTAGAACATCCACCAGAATAACTGAAGTACACATACATATGTTGAAGCAGCTCATTCAGAACCCCTCCCTCCCTTCTCCTCCTCCCACAGAGCTGTGCATGAACACGGCGGTGTTTGCCAAAAGCATGGCCATGCTGGGGAACTCCGAGGACAACACGGCCCTGTCCCGTGCTCTGTCCCAGCTTGCAGAGGTGGAGGACAAGATGGAGCAGCTGCACCAGGAGCAGGCTGCCAATGACTTCTTTGTGCTGGGAGAGCTGCTGTCTGATTACATCCGCCTGGTGGGGGCAGTGAGGGTAAGAGCACTACTTAAAGGTGCACTACGTCACTTTTCTAGTGGTGAAGTTATATTCCATACAGTTCCTTTTAAAAGTAGACAAAAACAAGTAAACAAAAAATGAATTCCCACGTGTGGCCACACCAGCACCTAAATAAAGTTTATTGAAAGCTATCAATTATTACAGATTCTAAATTATAATCACAATTCAAAGAGCCACAGTAAGGCTTCATATATGTGTTTGATTCATTTTTATTATACTTTAAACAAGATACATGTAAACTTGATAACAAACTAGATATGCAAAATGTCTGCAGAACACAAGAGTCCCATTTCATGTTCAGTGTTGTGCATGAACGCATTCATTTTTCAGTGAACTTTGAACTGAACACAACACATTTGTAAATCAAGAACTTGAACGTGAATTTGTTCAAATTATGTGAGATGAACGACGTACGTTACTGTTGGGGTTCAATTAAACTTCGAGGTTTGTTTTCACCTGATGAATCGACTGACAAGGTCTACTCACACTTTTTAGGGTCTGGCTCCACTGCACGCATCAGCGTTTACACGCGTAACCTCACAAAACCACAGCCGCACAGCAATGGCTCTGTGTTTGTCAATGGAAAAGACGATCAAAATTGACTAGGCGCGTTTAGCCACTTGTATCAGGTCTACAGTGAAACTAACAGCTGAACAGACTTGTCTTTACCTTCTGTACAGGCTGACCATGGCAAACGCCAGGATTTCAAAAGTTAATTTCAAAGCACTAATTAACAGTCTTTCTGGACCTGGGCTCTTTCACACGATACAGAACTGCCTCGAGAGCACGTTGCGCATATGGTAAATGCACAAATACAACAATAGATACATGCTCTCTGTGTATTTTGAAGGGGACACACGCTTACGCTCGCGTAGAGCGTGCAGTGGAGCCACCCTCATTACTTTCAATCCATTCTACAAATTACGCATCCAAAAGTTGTAGTGACGTCTCTCTGTCACATAAAGAACACATATAGTCGTGTCCTCTAGTCCGACAGAAGCTGATGCATCAGCGCACAAAGAGAAGCTGCTTTTTTCCAGCATTTACAGTTTATGCAAATTAGCCGTGCAGTTTTAAGTTTCTTTTCTGTAAGATGTAAACAAAGCTGCATTAAACACATTATAGTCTCAAACGGGCTGATGTGACTCTACATTGTTTTTGGTTTATATGTTGTAAAGTTGTTGTAAACTCAAAATCAGTTTGAAAAATAAGTTCAGCCTTTCATTTACATATCTCACCTAAAAATAAAATGAACTGAACTTTGAACTAGTTCAAAATAAAACTGCGAACTATCAATGTGAACTGTTCACTTTGAACATGTGTGAACTGAACTTTGAACTAGTTCATGAAAAATGTGAACTTACACAACACTGATCATGTGCTTTGTGTTGTCTTCTCAGGGCTGTTTTGACCAGCGCATGAGGGCGTGGCAGAGGTGGCAGGAGGCTCAGAGCACACTGCAGAAGAAGAGAGAGGCTGAGGCCAAACTGCTGTGGGCCAACAAGCCTGAGAAACTGCAGCAGGCCAAAGACGACATCACCGAGGTACTCACCAGCTCAGAGCATGAGCCATCGGGGCTACACCCACACTGTCGGGTGCTTTGGATTGGTCAATATAGCATTAAAGGGCATCTGAAAGAAATAGGACTTTTTACTTCTTTGGCTCTTTCATTGTGATGAATACATAAATGTGCGTTTTTTGGGGAGGTTTGTAGCGTAATAACTGCTTGCTGACATTTGCAGTTAATCCTGGTCAGAATGTCACTTTCTACCATGTTATAATGTTGTTTCCTCATCAGAATCTCTCCTTACAGTTTGCAGTGCAATTCTGTCCAATGCTTAGCCCACAAACTTATGCCAACCATGCTCCCACACAACAATTCTTCAGAAATATACAAAATAATACACTACAACTTCACAAACCTGATGCGATGTGCAGTAGTTTCATTAGCAGGATATGCGCCGATTGTGTTGTGATATTCTTGAGAAGGATGAGTGACTTAGAGCAGGAAGCAAAGGGTAACATGGTGATCTCCAACATGTAATGTGTAATGTGCAATTAATACCCTATAGAAGTTTAATGCCCCCCACTTTAAAAATGTATCAGTATACAAATATTAGCCTGCACTTATAGTGGATAATGCCCTGACTGTTACAATTTATTTGTGCCATTTTTATAGTCATAATACAAATATATTGGACTAAGTCGATTTGTTTCTGGCAATAATTTTGTTTATACACTGAAGCTAACAAAGTTACAGTCTAAAGCTCATCATCCATATAGATCTTTTAGTTTCTTAACTTTGTGGATTTATAATTCATTATAACTGCATTATAATTATTAGAGTTATTGTGATTTAATGTTACTAAAGATTCTCTTTATGTCTGCAGTGGGAGTCCAGAGTTACTCAGTATGAGAGAGACTTTGACCGGATCGGCATGACAGTACGCAAAGAGGTCCTCAGGTTTGAGGTAAGTGTTTTAAATGACTCTGTCTGTTCTCAAGGGAACATAGTTATGACAAACTTTCACTTTTGTCTCTGCAGAAGGAGAAGGTAAAGGACTTCAAGAGCCAGATAATCAGATACTTGGAGTCTATGCTGCAGTCGGAACAAAGGGTAATTCATAATTTTATGACTTTACTAAAACAATATGACCAAAAGTAAATAGAGAGGCATACAAGTGTCAAATACATCTGGAGCCAGTTATTGTAATGTGCCAAAGAATCAAACGGTGTCTGTGGCTTTTCAACACAAGGAACCCAGACAGTGAGAGATAACATGTGAATGCTCTATGACTATGACTTACCTGGAGTTGTTTTGTTTCAGTCACACATAGAAACGAAACAATCGCAATTCCTGGCATTTTTTAATGAGGCAATATTATAACATAGATCAGATAATAGTATAATATGAGCCCTTTTAATGAAGGAAAAATGCAAACTGGATTATCATTTTCTAATTTTGACAAATGATTTCTTTCTTCTGTCTCTGCAGCTCATAAAGTTCTGGGAGGCATTCCTACCCGAGGCAAAAGCAATAGCCTGATGAGGACGGGGCTTCTTTCTAAGACCTTAACTGCCTTTTGAACACTTTACCTCTTCGTGTGGAGCTGAGAGGACCATTTCAACCACGACTTCCATCCAGTTAACTCCTCTTTCCTTTTAACCACATTTTAACATGCATTACTTTTCTATACTGCCCTGTGACTGTACCCAACATTTCAACGTTCAGTTTTGAAAGACGGGAAGATTGTCTAGCAGCAGGGAGAGTAGGTCTGTCACGATAACACATTTTGAAGTGTGATATATTTCTAAAACTATTATATAGAAAAAGGTATATTTAAACTACTCTGTACCACTGAATAACACAATAACCTGTAAACGTGCACTGTGTAACTTTCTGGTTGGGGGGGGTCCGTCAACTGCTTGTTTCTATGGAAATGTCATTGCTCTGCCTGGAATGTTCCACAGTATGACATTAAACAGCTCTATCTTACATTTATTCAATTACAGGTGGTTTTACAGCTCAAAAATATCTAGAAAAACAGGCATTCTGACTGTGAGCGGGATCGCCTCTCCACAGATCTGACCTGTAAGCTCTGGTATGGTTTTCATAAAGATAAATTTTTCATGCCATACTGTGAAACATTCCAGACAAAGCATTAACATTTTCTTGAAGAAAAGCATTAGATGGACCTCTACCAGAAAAGTTACACAATGCACCTTTAAAGCAGGATAATCCCAGCCTAAGTCCTTTTATAAATGCATACTATTATGTAAAAACCATGAGCTGCAATAAATAAAGCGCAGAATGAAACATCAGTAGGTAGTTAAGTGGCCTGAATGATTTGCAATTTATGTTTTAGAAACTGGATTCTGTTCAAAGTTCACATTTTAAATGCGTCCAGAAGAATTGACTGGAATATGAACTGACAAACTAATACAAGAATTTCAGAATTTCTAGAGATCTAAACTGCAGAGTTAGCAGATTTTATGCTGAATGAGACGGGACATTTTGTTGTTTGTGGAGGACATTATGGTACTTCAAAAATTGCAGCCTTTGTGATTTGCCAATTTTGTCCATTCAGATTGCTATTTTCATTTGATTATGATGAAAGAGGGGCTATTATGCTTTCAACCATGTTCTAATGTTCTTAGCTCATCAAAAACATGCCTAAAGAGGTTTTAGATGTCATCAATCCTGGGCAGTATTGAAACCTTCCTTATTTTTAGCAGTATAATTCTGTACAAGACTCAGCCCACAAGCCTACGTACCCATACAAAAGCATGATACAAAACAATACACTACAACTTCACAAACCTGTCAGAGCAAAGGTAGGGGTGGCATGTTTTCTGTGATTATAGCATTTTAAAACCTAAAAGGTAAAATGGTGATCTAAGTATATTATGTGTGAGCCTGGAAGTAAAATAGCCCTTCTTTAATCTTAGTTACAATACATAGATACAATAATCAGTAAAAGTTAGAGGTGTATTTAAACCCCTACAGAGCAAATCTCATGGTACTACAAAACATAACAAAAATCCCCCACTACTGCAAAGATGTACACATGATCATTACATTCCAGCTTTCCTATTTTAAACAATAGTTTGATACAGTAATTATCATGACAGGCTTACAAGAGAGGATATGAGAATTGCCACTGCAAGTTAGTGTGATATGTATTTATGTTGCTTTGCTTATAATAGTGTATGAAGGAATTAACACTCGAGGTACTGCCCTAGACTAACATGTCATAGTTTACACTAGAAATAGACTTATGCATTCCAAACTTTAACTTTGCTACAACAATGCATGATAACTTTTGATGCACTAAAATCTGTTGTACAAACTGATTTCTACATAATCACTCTTTATGACAGTGATGGCGCATTGTTACTGTACTAAACATTACACATTTCATATACCATACAAGTTTTACTAAAGATGCACTGTGTAACATTTCTGGTTGAGGTTTCGCTGCTTGCTTGTATCCATGGAGATGCTTTTGCTTCGCCTGGGATGTTCCGCAGCATAGCATTAATTGTGTCTATCTTTAATGTATTTTGCCCTTTATTCATACTTTGCAGCTGACGCCATTAACATTCCCTGTTGGTGTGATTCTAACTGTAGGCACTGCTCAGTATGAGGTTTTGTTAGACTTTAATCTGATCTTTATTTTCACTCCATCTGACCAGAAAGAACTGACTTGGTTATTGGTTAAGTTTTTTGTTTTTTTTCTAGAGCTTTCAGAATATCTTAGCACTTTTTTGGCTGTGTTCATGTCTCCATGGTAACTGTTCAACATTCTGCCATAGAAATACAAGCAGAACATCCCCAGCAAGTCACTGCAAAGTATCAGTTGCTCAAAAATACATCGAAAAACATGGATTCTTATTGTGAGGGAATCGCCTCTGTACAGATCTGACTTGGCCTGTTGCTGTCAGTTGTCTTCATGGAGAAAGACAATTTAATTCCAAACTGTTGAACTTTCAAGGGCTGGCATTGCAATAACATCTCCATGGAGACAAGATGATGGCATAACCTCCACCGAAAAAGTTACATAATGCACCTTTATAGGACCTATATTGCACAATTTTCTGATCTATGTTATAATGTTGATTCTTCATCAAAAACATACCTCGACTTTTTTTTTTTTATTATTCATACATGTTTACCACACGAATCCTGCATCTCTCAGACAGAAAACACTCTCTGCCATCTTGTGATGTCATGTGGTAATACAGGAAATGCTTCACTGTGTTTTTAAACTCCATACACCTTTACTGTGATTTAGATAATTTCAGCCCTGAACAAATAGTAAAAAGTAGCTGTTAACTTGAAAACTACTGCTACATGATATCACAAGATGGAACAGAGCATTTTGAGATTTGGAGATGTAGACAAACTAATAATAAAGGGTTCACTCAATGATTCAAACATGTGTGAATGAAATGAAACAAAACACAACTCAGGGTATGTTTTGATGAGGTAACAAAATTATAAATGTAAAGCTCACAAGAGTAAACTTTGCGTAATAAAGGACCTGTAAAGTATTGAAGAAAAATATGGTCAGAACTTTTCAAACGTTGCAAGGAATCTGAACTGGAGAATCAGTTACTTGTATTTTTTAAGATAATGTACTTGATGAAAAATGTAATGTTATTTTCACAATCAGTAGGTCTTAACTGAATTTTGTTGGAGAGACTGAGGAGCCATGACTTTTTGTATTGTCGAAGGATTTGCTGCCGAATGTTTACCGTTGCATAGAAATTGTTACCACTAATTTGTCAAGTATTTCCAAGTTTCACCGTGTTACAAAATTAGTTTATCATGAATATTGTAAAACCTTCATGTAATACTGACCTAAACTTATTTTTCAGATTTGTAACAGCGAGTCTGTCATGTCATATTTGTGTCAAAATGTGCTTTATTTTTGTAACCACTTTGCATTGGCACACACTTTCCCTGGAAATGCTTTACAGGTAGATGTACAAAATAAATACAATTGGATAAAATTTGGGTCTGTGACTGTGTTTGATTGAATATAGAATTTAGCCTTTTATAGTATGTATTTAGCCTATTATACCATCTATTTTGAAATAGCAGGATATTTACACATGGCAACTGTCCATGGGCAATACACTCCCTATGTAAGTTAGTACGTGATTTATTTTATTTTTTTTACCTTTATTCAACCAGGTGGCAGCCAACACAATCAGTACAAACAATGAAATAACTAGAAAAGCACTCAGAGAGCGCAGACCTCCGCCAAGGACTACCCCCATTTTTTATATAAATTGTGATAAAATCAGTCTTCTGGATCAGATCCGGATCAGCCTTTGGAATATGAAAGAGGATCCCATTGTCCATCCCTGAGTGAAATTTCATGGGGTTTGGTCAATAATTAACCGAGATATTGAGAAACAAAATTTTTGGCCCCATTTACCACAATGTTAACTAAAATTTCAAAGTGATCCAGAATCCAGGATTTATTCCGGATCACCCACAAAATGAAAATTTAATCAAAATCGGTCCATAACTTTTTGAGTTATGTTGCTAACAGACAAACAAACAAACAAACAAACAAACAAACAAACAGACAGACAAACGCCGGCAAAAACATAACCTCCTTGGCGGAGGTAATAAAATATCACTTTATAAAACCAGCATGCACTTCTCGATCACAACACTTTTTACCATAAATTCCAAATGAAGATCTGAATGATTCCAAAAACTGTCCTGTAATGAAAAGATAGACAGACAGACCCCCTGAATCAATCAATATGTCTAACTAACCCAGTATCTTTACTAAGAGGAGTAGGCCTATATTACTACTAATGTGTGTGACAGAGTCCTAAGTCCAACCAGAGAAAACATGGCAAACAAAGCTGAACGTTTAGAAAAGTGTTCCCCAGTTTTATTATCTGTTTTGTCCTGATTACACTTATAGACAGGTGAGACAGGTTTGTTTCTCTTTCTCTTTCTGTTTACCTTTTAAAGTGCGCTGTGACCTGGAAGTGTGGCGCGTGCGGCGGGCGGTGCCGTGCTTGTGCTTCCGGTGTGTTCGGAGCATTCACGAGCAGCAGCGGAGAGAGCCGAGAGCCGAAGAATGGACCGAACGGCTCCTGCTGCCACATTACCGTGCAACATCACTAACAACCAGGATTAGCCCAGCTGTCCCGCAGCAGCACTAGCCCCGGTCTGCACCCTCTCGTCACCGTGCCCCGAGAGCCCGCTGGTCGTGAGAGCTTTGGGCCGTGCGAAGGTGAGCTCCGCTCGGTGTAGATGTGCAGCTGTGCCGTGCTGAAGCCAGCCTTCCGCGCTTGGCTCTGTGCTAATATTTTTGTAGCTAACGGAGCTAGTTCCCTTGTTGCGCTCAGGCAGAGGGGCTTAATTCCAGGCATCTCGCCCGAGTGGGCGTGCGCTATCTGGTGCTTCTTGTAGCATGTTAGCCAAATATTAGTTTCATTTAGTTGTCAGATTGTTTAACGTCATGATAAGGAAATAGGTTATGGTTAAGGCTGCGATTATGGTTAATTAGGGTTAGGATTATGCTTTGGTTGATGGGATTTTCTGTTTGTAAGTTTACAAGTAGTGTCTGTAAAACCAGTTGTTATTCTCCCCTTGTTTTTGTGCATATAACACACCAAATATAACGCATTTCACAATCATTAAATCTAAGAATAACACTAAAACCTATTTGTGTGTAATTATCATTTCAGTTTCAACCTCATTTCACACAAACTCCGCCTCCGAGCGAGATGCCTGGAGTTTAGAATCCCTTCGCGCTGTGGTTCTATCCCGCTGTCCCAGCGCTCCCAGTGGGGCTAGCTGAGGCGAGCACACTCCTGGACTGTTTCTTTCGTCGTATTGAAATAGAATTGGACATATTCGTGTCAGACATTTCTGAATATAGTCTTCTGAAAACACACCGATCCAACAGGGGTTATTATAGTTTGATACGCGTTAGCGGTGGGCTTGTTTGGGAAGCTGCGATGCTAACATGGCTAATGGTTATTTTGCTCTCAAATCGATGAAAACATAACTAATGAGGACTGACAAGACTGACAGCACAACAGAGGCCTTAAATGGTCCTTTTTACACACTTGAAGAGAGAATCGTGGTCTTAATGGGAAGCCTGACCCATCTTAAATGACTTGTATCCTCTGTCAGTACTGTGTTGTTATTGCTTTGAGAGTACAGAGGAAGCCATGGAGGGGGGTTCTGTCCGACACTCTTAACACTTTAGATTGCTTTTTTGTCTGCAGGTTGCAACGGACTCTTTTGCTCTGCTTCAAAGGTGTGAATTTGTGTGTGACATCTTTTCAGATCATGTTGAACTACCTTTTCAATTTTCATTGTAGCAGTGTTTGACTTGGCTGTTCTATTATGCACCTTAGGCTTACTATTTAATTATTAGTCAGTTACACAGAGCTGGTTGCGTTTTTTTTTTATTACTCATATTTTTTATTTGTTTTCTGCAAAGGATGTTGCACAGTTTATTGCATTTCTGTTGTGTTAACGTTATTGGATTTTTTTTCTTCTGTGTGCACCTTACATTTTGTTGCATTCCCAGTGTTTCTTTTCAATTTTGTTAAGACTATGACAGCACAAAGTATTTTTAATTTAATTTTTAAATTTGATTTATTCCATGGTATTCAATTTGTGGAATATAAAATGTCACTTACTGCCTATATTTAATTTTTAAGCAATCATTTTTGTCTATTTTACAAGTTTATGATAGTATAAGGTTGCCCAGCAAATCCAGAATGATCTCCCTCTATATTTTTATACAGATTGGTGTCACTCTGATCCCCACGCCCTCCATTGCATTTTAAACCGGGCCAAATGTGATCATCCAATCAGATTTCAGATTCATTAGTCTGACATAATTTACAAATAAAATCAAATTTCTCTCACCTCAAATGAACTGAGTTTAGTGCTTCGCTCATTGATTCTGCAGAAATCTGCCATATTACAGCCCCTAGTGATATTTTTTTCCTTTATAAATTAAATTAAAGTAGAGTAAAATATTGAACCGTGTATGTATTTTGGATCGCAGGCAAAATACAAGGAGCAACAAAGAAATTTTTTTGTCCAGTTTATTTTAGACTATGGGGTACCTGTTTTAGACTATGGGGGGGACAGGTTTTTTTTTCATTCTAGCACATTTTTTAAAACCTGGTTTAATTTGATCTTTTGATTCAAATCTGAACAGAGGCTCAGGTGGGCAAATCATTTCTCATCAGTTCACACAGTGCTCAGGCTCTTTCTTAGAGCACTTGACACAGCTCTCATTCAGAAACATACTGTACACGAGCTCTGAATTCAGTTTTGATTTTTCAATACTACAGATCTGTTCTCAAGTGGTAAAGGACTTTAGCCCAAACTCTGTCACTTTCAATGTACAAACTCAAACATAACAGCAAATTAAATATGTGTGCACCAAAAATCTAACAGGAAAGGATTTCACAAATGCTTCAAACAGGGAGAAAGGTCTCTGCACTGAGTACAGACATTGAATACATGTATAGACTACACAGCTTTTCAGAGACATACAGTCCTTGTTTGATTTTTAAGAACACATTACATATCACAGTACAAAAGGTGATGTGTTTGCTATTCTAACATCTTTTATAATTTTCTTCTTTTTGATAAAATACTGCAAAATCTACTTCACAATTGGTAATGTACTTTTATATTTTCTTTCCAATCGTAAATTCATATATGTGAAGAGTGAACCCCAGTGTCAGATGCACTAAACCACTGATTCTTTGTGGTCACTGAGAGAAAGACTGAAACTTCTGAGCTGCTCTGTCATATGAATGAAAGAGCACAGAAAAACACATCATCAAAGTCTGAGAGTTTTGATGGTAAATCTTGCTTTTGGGAGATGACCGATCAGTTTTGAATATAAAAGATTTAATTTTGTTTTAGAAAAGTCTAATTCTGTTTTGGATTTTGTGTGAGCTATTTTACAAAAGTCAATTTTCAATAGAAGTGGTAAAAAAAAAAGCTGTAACACACATCCATTCATAACTTATACAGCCCCAATCGTGGTTTAATAAAATATTTCCCATAAGTCTGTGATGGAGTGCTTGCTTACCCCTCCCTCTTGTCAAACATAACCCACACTATCAACAAATAAAACTCTTATCTAGTCACCCGTCAAAACAAGCTTTGGCCTGGGAGCATTGTGACATGATGTTTTATGATTTCTGCACAAGGGTCTTTCATATTTGACTGATTACTAATAGTGCATATAGTTGAACTGGGCCTGCATTGTGTTGGTTAATATTTTTACGGTATACTATTTTAAATCTACAATCCTTTAAAAAAAAAGACCTATTGTGCTTTTGTCTGCTCTATAGTTCTAATGACACTCATGGATCATTATGTTAGAAGTAGGGCATTTTAAATGGCAATACTGATCTGAAATTACTTAAAAAAGAAACAAGTCTGCTAACTTCCATTTCAGAAAACTGCTGTGGCCAATGGGAGCTGACGTCGCCATAAACGTCTGCTGCAGATCATGCTAGCAAGTAGCAACTTTTTTTGTACCAAAAAGACTACGCAATGCTACCTAATCCTATGCTATCTCTCAAATGGAAAAATAAAATTTGAGAATCAAGGAAGTACAGTGCAGTGAAAATGGGTTGATTGGAGAATTATTCAAACATGCACAAATATAGCTACAACTTTGAGAGGGTAAATGTGAAGGAAAACAGCTATAACATGGTGGAAAGCTCTGAAAAGTTGATTTTGCAGAATAGATCTGCTTTAATATTGTCATTCCAGTTTAGCATTTACATGTAATGATAGAGATGGTATTTGTTTTACCTTTTATAATGAAACTTTGACAAATGACAGCACAGAGCTTAATTTTCTAACTTGTTTACATAGTTGTTTACATATGATAAGTAGCCATGTGCTCGAGAAGGCTTCTCTCTATTTACAGGTTTCTAACATGAATAATATAGTAAAAAAAACACTGTCTTTAGAATCTGTGAGATACAACATCATGTAATATCTCTGTCACTGTGTTCTGAAGTTGCTATACTGTGGAGTTTTTTAAAACATTATTTTATATTACTATCAGATAGGTCTATTAAAAGGCCTATTTAAAAATAGCCTAATAATCTGTTATAATAATATAAATTCACAATAGAATATTTCATTATAAGACACAGCCTAAATTGTATATAAAATTATAAAAAATTGGAAGATCAGGATGGGATTGACATCCCTAATAACTACATTTATTTATTTATTTATTTATTTATTTATTTGAGACAGGAACAGCGCACAATTTTTACATTAACATGAATTGCGTTTTAATTTTACATATGATGAATCATGATGAATTGACTTGTGGGTCCTGTATCGTGAATTGAACTGAATTATGAGATTTCTGAATTGTTACACCCCTACTATGCAGTTTTATACTTTCTTTACGTTCTGATACAACTCAAGAAGATTATTCTAAAGCTATTCAGGAAAGGTTCATTTTTGTCCTATGAATGTGAGTTTTTGCAGTATTGATATCTGGTAAAACAATTTGTAAAGTGCTTTTGTTGCTTTAATTTTACTTTTTCAATAAAAAAGTAAGATTTTTATAAAGCCGGTCACATACTAGAGCAATGCTAACATGACAATGGGAAACAAAGGACATTTAAGATTTCTCTGTTGTTTGCTGTCAGTATTTGCAAATAATAGCAAAATCACGTTTCTTCTCACAGTAATTGTAACTCTAAAATGTTATATTGTTGCATCCTTAGCTCTGCTCTCAGCACTATACATTTTTCTACAGATTGGATTTGTTGTGCTGCAGTTTCACTAGACCAGTATGTTGGCTGCACAGTAGAGTTCATCAGAGGTTACATTCAGAGGGAGTAGATTGGGGCAGAGCTGTCTGGAGATGCCACAATAGGGGTCCCTCTATGGCAGGCTCCCTCTCAGGATGATCTTTGACTGAAGGTTAATCACCCCACGCACAGCACCGTGGCTCTTAAGACTGGAAACTCGCACACCTTATTTACCACATTTGGAAATGACAACACTACTATACAGCATTTCTGTGATGGCGATACGGACTGAAGAATTAAAATCAAATTGAAAAATGAGAGTGATCAGAATGAGGAAAAAATATATGTATAATTGATTTATTTGCAGTTACATCATGCTGGGGTTGTTGTACGTATCTAAAGTGGAATGTCCAGCAGTTATCATGGAGACCCAATCGACACATTAACAAAGTCCAAAAAGTTTTAAGATCAAGAAAAAATACAAAATGGAGTTAAAGGAGCCTGTGATCAATACGAGCGTTCATGGTCTTGTCTAGAAGTTTGGTTTTCAACAAAAAAGTGAGTGAGAACAAAGCTCACATTAAAGTCTAACATGACTAACAGAGCTTCAGACAAAGCAGTGACTCCAGTTAGCTTCACACCCTCAAGTAATGTTGATGACATTTATTATTTTTTTGTCATGTAATCTCCCAGCCCTTCATTTCAGCCTCACCTTATATTTATTCCTAGTTGTGGTAACCATGACTGAATAACTGAGCTGAATGCTGTTATAATAATTATATAGCTCCATAGTAAGTGTAACATACAAACTGGCCTATTATTGGAGAAGAGATGCTGTGCTACTAACTACTGCCATGCTATCCTCTCTTATGTCCAGACTGTGAACGGTGGAGGATTCCTTTCAAAACCAACAAAGCCCTCTCTGAAACCACATTACAGCGGCGCATTTAACCTCACACTCAATCCATTCATTATGTGGTCTGTGACGATTAATCTGTACTGTATAATTCAAGTGTGGCCCTATTTAAAACGTTTGGAGCATTTATCAATTTCATACCACAATTTGTGCTGTCAGAAATGATTAAAATACAGGAAAACACAAGGAAATAAGTAAAGCCATTAGTGATTTCAATTTCCATGCCTTTTTTTAGCTGTTTTTATTTTAGTTTAATTATCCTGTGCTATTCCCATCCATTCCCAAGTATCGTTGTTCCTTGTGTTGGGCATGCCTGAACATGTTCTATCCTCAGAGACTGCAGTGGCGTGCACCTGTTAGCTGTAAACCCTTTGTATAGATGATTCTTTGTATAGAAATCGTTTTTACAAGAGAATAGAAATTGTTGTTAAGTATGCAAATTACATTATCATGTTGTCTATTATTTTATGTGTTTGAAATAATGTAAGTTTTCTGGTGGGGCTCTGCGACTAGCTTTACTCCATAAAAATTTTAATGTGTAAATCTTATTTACTCAATAACATTCATTTTTTTAAATGAAAAATAAATGCTGCTTGACAATCCAGCACATGAAGTATTTCTTGGGCTGTACAAAACAATCGCTGTAACACTGTCTCACTCACTGCAGGTCATGTCATAAACTACATCTCCTGTTAGTTGTAAACCACCCTTTCATCATGTTTATGCAAAGTTCAGTATAGATCACAAAGACTAGCCTTTATCCGTGTTTCCTTGTTTACTCAATAACAGGTGTTAATTAAAAAAATGTATTTAAAAAAACTTGCCAGATAGTTATTGGGATAATGGAAATCATGCCTCATTATAGAAGAACTATTATTGACAGACTTACCACTTGAAGCACAAATTGGGTTAAAAGTACAAGTAAAATTCTGTATGCATTATTTATTTCTATGGGAAAACACTGAAATTTGTTATTATGACATGCCTTAAATGACACCTTTGAATCACAATCAACAAAATGTGCCAAGTTTTTGAATTAGTACAACCATGTTCAACACACTGAAAGCAAATCCTGAAAATGTTTGTACTACTTGGTAGAGGGAGTCTTATTGTAGTCCTGTTATCTTGTTGTCACGTTGGTCTCCTTGTATTCTTGTATTCTCACTGTAGTCTTGCTGTAGTCTCGCTATTGTCTCTTTGTAGTCATGTTGTTATATTGTCTTGTTCATCTCGTTGATGTCCCGTAGTCTCGCTATAGGCTTGTCATCTTGCTTTTGCTTAGCTGTCTTGTAGTCTTGTTGTAGTCCTATTGCAATCTTGTAGAGTCTCTTGTCTTGTCATCTCGCTATAGTCCAGCTGTTGTCTTCTAGTCTTCGTGGAGTCCTGTTGTAATCTTGTAGTTTCGCTCTCATCTAGGCTGCTGTTTTGTAGTCTTGTTGTAGTCCTATTGTGATCTGGTAGTCTTGCTCTTGTCTTGTCGTCTCATTCTAGTTTAGCTGTAGTCTTGTTGCATTCTTGCTGTAGCCTTGTTGTCTAAACTCCTCTTGTCTCACTGTAGTCTTGTTGTAGTCCTATTGTAATCTTGTTGTCTTGTCATCTCGTTCTGGTTTAGCTGTTGTCTCGTTGTGGTCTTGCGGTAGCCTTGTTGTCTAAACTCCTTGTCTCATTGTAGTCTTGTTGTAGTGCTATTATTGTCTTTTGTAGTCTTGTAGTCCTCTTGTCTCATTGTAGTCTTGTTGTAGTGCTATTATTGTCTTTTGTAGTCTTGTAGTCCTGTTGTCTCATTGTAGTCTTGTAGTCCTATTTCCTCATTGTAACCTTGTTGAAGTCCTGTTTCTGTCTTATTGTAGTCTTGTTGTAGTCCCTTTGTAGACCTGTTGTTGTCTCATTGCCATCTTGTTGCAGTCCTGTTGCTGTCTCATTGTCGTCTTGTAGTCTCACTGAGATCTCGGTGTTGCCTTGCTGTAGTCTTGTTGTCGTCTTGTGGCTTTTATGTAAACGCTCGGCACGCTTGCCCTTGAGAGCAAACACAGGGTTTTGATGTTGGCTCCGTTCAGGCAACACGAGTGTGAGTCATAGGGAAGCCCACACAAACAGTTTGTAAGCCCGCCATTTCATGGTCTCCATATCAAAACACTACTACCAGGGGTGAAGTGAGCATATTTGTGTGGCAATGCTTCCAATTAGTTTATATGCTGCTTCACAATCCTGCACATGAAGTATTTCTTGGGCTGTACAACACAATCGCTGTAACACTGTCTCATTCACTGCAAGTCATGTCATAAACTACATCTCCTGTTAGTTGTAAACCACCCTTACGTCATGTTTATGCAAAGTTCAATATAGATCACAAAGACTAGCCTTTAGCCATCTTTCCTTGTTTGTATTTCTACTTTTTTTGTATAGTCTTGTGAGTTGTGATATTTGGTTATTCAAAATGCAGTGAACATAATGTAACACTGTGTATTATCAAGTATCCACAAAAAAAAAAAAAAAAATTTCAAATTGTACATCTTCAGAAACAGCATTGACAATATTATTGATAATGCTATTTCTGTAACTAGTGTTGTCACAATACAAACATTATAAACTTTATTTTAATACTGAGGAATAGACTCAATACCGATATCACAATGATAATAAATGCACAATGCACAAATAGAATGTGATTTTTAACATTAAATACCAGTACTTGCCTTTACCATGTATTCTTTTGTCTGTGTAATCTCTCAATGGTCCAGGTAGGTTCCATAGTGCTCCCTGGGCGTATACTAGTCTATGTGCTCTTATACTTGTTCTGATACAGCTCAAGATCATTCTAAAGTTGTTCAGGAAAGTTTTATTTCTGTCATGTGTAACTGATTTTTGATACTTTTAACACCCTTACATCTAACACCCAGACAGCTATTTCAGACCCATCGAAATAGCGAATACAGGGCCCCCAAAAATACAAAATGTTACTGGGTGAATTGTATTTACTTGAAACATCACAAAACCGTTTGTCCCTGTTTGCCAGCGTGCCCTTGAGCAGATGGGATAATCTGTTGACATAATAGTGTGTGCTGCTGACACAGAGTGGTGGACACTACACAGGCTTCAGCAGCAGCTCACCAGACACAGACACAGGCTTATGTTGATGCTTCCTCTGTTTGTAGTCTCTGATCACACAGACTTAGTCATTTAAGGCTGCCCCAAATACGCACAATTTAGAGGACATTTTGAAAGGTCTGTCCCAGTAACAAATTTTGAAGTGTGATATAACAATAAAAGATATAATAAAAGCTCATTTATGCCTCGTACATGGGAACCTTAAAGTGCACACAAGACAGGTTAGACTACTCATTTCAGTAAAACATAATTAACATCATCATATTTGAGATTTAATTGCAAATCTTGACTAGTTTCTAGTTTTGTGAATTTGGTGAAGTTATAATTTACTTCCTTCTTGGATATGGGTAGTAGATGTGACATAAATAAAAAGACAAAATATTTGCCACTAGTTCAAAGACAAAAGTACCCATAATAAATATTGACGCTACAAAAATATTCTTACATAATTCTTGTATGTAATTTTAAGTTGATTATTTTTTTTATTATGTTATTATATGTGGCTACATAATACTGGTTATTCTGAATTTCATTATACTGTATAATGACAATAAAGACTTTCTATTCTATTCTGTTCTGCTCACATTTCCTTTTCAATATTTTTTTTTCTAGGTAGCACAAAATATACAATTGAAAGTTTTGTTGAAGTATTTTGTACTAGGGCTGCATGATTTTGAAAAAAATATTCTGTATTCTTTTCTGGGGGGGTTGGAATGTTAACTTTAAACAGATGAGTTTTTGTAATGAAAAAATTATAGCTTTTATGACTTAATAATCCATTTATATTACAGTCTAATACTGGTTCTTATACAGCTCAAGATCATTCCAGACCTATTCAGAAAAGGTTCATTTCTATCCTGTGACACTGATTTCGATACCTCTTCAAAGTATATAGTGGAATGTATACCAATTTTAATATTGATTTAGTATCTGATTTTTGATACTTTTGACAACCCTAATTGTAACATAGATGTTGGTGTGTTGCAGGTGGGACTGGTTGAGATCTCCAGATGTCGAGGCTGCTACTGCTCCTCCTGTCCCTGTGTTAGAGCTGCCCCGTCCCATGAGAGTGTGCTCCGGGTGCTGCCACTGACCCGGGCTGTGGCTGCCCCCGCCGCCCCGCCCCACCATGGACCAGCAGAGGGACAAGTATGGAGAGCGGCCCTCCCGGAGCACCAAAGTGTCCCAGGGCAGCCGCAGCGGGCACCCCTCCAGACCCTCCGGCTCCTCCAGCTCCTCCGGGGTGCTCATGGTCGGACCCAACTTTCGCGTGGGCAAGAAGATCGGCTGTGGGAACTTTGGGGAACTTAAACTTGGTGAGGCAAACAATCATAATATTTTTGAGTTGTGATGTGACGTTTATGAATGAGTCACCTCTTTTGCATATATGCATTTTTATATTGATTTACGCTGAACCACCACAAGAATCAGCACAGAGGCAGAGTAGGCAACACAAGTGAGAGATTTTTGCACAGAAAATCATATTTGGTATCATAATAACAGTTTGTTTTTTAATTATTATTGTAGTGCAAGTCTCACTTTGAACAATTTTTTAGCCTGGGTCACATCCCTCTGTGCATAGTTTGTAGATAAAATGACTTCTTACATTGGCTTGTTTCATATAAATAAATATAAAAAGAGCAAGTCTTTTGAACAGAACTTTTTGAAATGAACAAGCAAACTCTTTGAAATGAACGAATCCAAAAGATGCGGATGCTATAAAAGAGCCAAAAGCCACTAATCACTATTAGAGGCTTTGAATTTTACCGCGTTATCACAGTTTTTGTGTAATTGAATTTCATTGTCTTTAAAATGTCAACAACAGAACTAGCTTATTTGAAATGTTTTTCAGTGGTCCAAAGTCATTCCTCACCAACTTACTGCTGGGATCCGAATTATTCACTGTGAATAGTATAAGCGCGTTTCACAACCTGCACACACGAGAGTAGAGTTTTGCCGTCACTGTAATGCTAACAACAACTAGCATGCAAACAATGCACCAACATTTCTTGGTTTGGAGCTGCTTTTACAAAATACTGTAAATGATGTAAGACATTTTTTTAAACTTTATAACAATGGAGGAAAAAAAGAGTACTGTTTCTTTTCCCGCTTACTGAAGGTGGGAGTTCATCCTTCTCTGTGATTGGTTAAATCTGCCCCTTACACACTCAGAACCTGACAAAAGCTGACCAGTAGAGTCAGGGCAATGGGAAAAGTAAACCAACTGTCAATAAACCATTACCAGAATAGCAATCTAGAAAAGATTATTAGATTTGGTGTGGTGAGTGTTATGTATTGAACTGATTAAACCTTTTTCTTTTTCTACCAGGCAAGAATCTGTACACCAACGAGTATGTTGCCATTAAACTGGTGAGTAATTACCTACATCACTACAAATAAAGTTAAGTTCACCTCTTAACTACTGCCATCTGGAAAAAAGGCCAGATGTAGCTTTGTTAAATGGGTACACCCCTGTGACATTTGCAGTACCTGGTATAGCATTAATAAACAATATATTTTAAAGGTAAAATAAGATCACACAAGCTGAAAGGTGAATTATACATGTTCACAAACTTAAAAAAAAATGCATTGTGGCTAGCCAGCACAATCTAAGATCACTTTTTAATATAGAAAATGTCTCCTAAATGAATGAGTTCAGTTGTGTTTTACTGTTGTCTTGTTTGTTGTCACTTTTCAGGAGCCAGTGAAGTCAAGGGCCCCACAGCTGCATCTAGAATACCGCTTCTATAAAACGCTGGGAACCACAGGTGCGACACACTAACCCTGAATCGTGGTATAAACCGGGGCATAATGAATTGAAGTGGTAGAGCACATGTGAGTGAATATATGGGTTGTTTTGTTATTGGTGAGAGGTTTTGCAGCCATTGTTACTCGTTTTTTTTTTTGTTAATTCTGAAGGGGGAGTTAAAGACGGTATTTCCTGTTTAGAAGGGCTGGGCTGGCTGACTGGTTCGCCGTGAAGAGGTTTTCCTTGTGCATAGTAAAGTGGCTTTTGAAACATCAATAATTAAAATAACTTAACAAACGCCACTTTTTAAGGAAATGGCTCTTAAGCCTCGTTCACCTAATCACATTACATTACAAAGAATAGATATTACACACACACAAGGCTAGATCGCACAATGCATCGATTTTGTGATTGAAGGAAGAGATAGTACTTCCTGGTGTGGGTTTGAAACGGTGAGAAGGATTTGTCACTCAAAGCTCGTGCTCATGATGTGGTTGGTTCTCTGATCTGTGGTTGGTTCTCTGATCTGTGCTTGTCTCTCTGATCTGTGCTTGTCTCTCTGGGTGAAGGTTTCATTTGTGGCGCCTGTTCAGCAGCCAACAGGCCCATGGCTTTTGGGTGTTGCATATGTGATGTCTCAAGTCCCAAGACCAGGGCTAGAGTTGTGTTGGGTACAATCATTAATTCATTGCTAGAGATGAGTGCCAAACTTGAGGCACATTTCGTACCCTGACCGACTGACCTTGGTTCAAGTTAAAATTCTCTATTGTCCTGCAAGGGGAAATTAGTACTGCATCACTAAACATATAAAAACAAACAGATGCAACACAAATAAAGAGGAGGGGGGTACAAAAGAATGTGTATAAATACTATAATCATGTACAGTACAAATATGTCATGCAACTACTTTTGCACGGTTTAATGAGAAAGCGTGTTTCCATGGGCAGTGCTCTGCTACATAAACCAACTGACGTCACCCAAGCATCATAAATGTTTTTTGGTAAATCACACCTGAATTGTTCTTTTCAATCAAAAGGCATATCTCAGAATTATTAAACGTCTTTTTGTGACTTGCTAAGTTTATGGAGCTGTGAGACATAGCTAAAGCTCGAGTAAACACAAAACTACTCCAATTTATCATCTACTTTTTCAAAATTTTTCACTTCTCTGTGCCTATAAACCACATTTTAATGTTTCTGTGTAATACATTAGGTTTGGCTAATGTTGGAGGCACTAGACTTGACCTCTGTAGGAAGTAGTCCCTCCGTGGGCTGCTTTGGACCCCTTAACGAGCAGGTACCATTTACCTAAGATGAACACATTCTGACCTTATTGATTTACTCCCTAGCAAACCCATGGAAACAGGCAGAAATGATACCAAAGCCTTGTTTCCAGGTGCCACATCTTGAACAATCCCCTGGATCAATAAGTTTAGGCACCAACAGCATCTGCACTGATGTCACAAGGTCAAACCTATGCATGATATTAACCTAGATGAATCTTGAACAAGGAGAACATGCAAATGCCTCACAAACTCCGTTGCCATCAAATGCTGGTTCTGGGCTGGTTCAGAGCCAGCTTTATTTTTTACTAGATAAGACATAGTAATTGTTGCCATAACAATGTATTATTTACAGTGGAGGACATAAGTATTTGAACCCTTGCTGATTTTGTTGGTTTGCCCGCAGACAAAGAAATGAACAGGCTATAATTTTAATGTTAATTTAATATTGAGAGCATATTAAAAAGAAAATACATGAAATAAGAATTTGATCCCATACCAACCCTACCAATCAACTGCATTAGACTCTTGTTTTAACTCGTCACCTCAGTTAGACACTTGTTTTAACTAGTCACCTGTATAAAAGACACCTGTCCACGGAATCAGTCAATCAGTCAGACTCTAATTTCTCCAAAATGTGAAAGAGCTGTCAAAGGATTTCAGGGACAAGATTGTAGACCTGCACAAGGCTGGAATAGACTACAAAACCATAAGTAAGAAGCTGGTGTTAAGGAGACAACTGTTGGTGCAAGTGTTCAAAAGTTTTAAAAAATACAAAATGATCATCAGTTGACCTTGGTCCTGGGCTCGACACAAGATCTCACCTTGTGGGTTTTCAGTGATCATGACAACAGTGAGAAATCAGCGTAAAACTACATGGGAGGAGCTAGTCAGTGATTTCAAGGCAGCTGGGACCACAGTCACTAAGGAAGCCATTGGTGACACTTTACACTGCAATGGATTAAAGTCGTGCAGTGCTCACAAGGTCTCCCTGCTTAAGAAGAATGTGCAGGCCCTCCTGAAGTTTGCCAGTGAACACCTAAATGATTTAAAGAATTATTGGGAGAAGGTGCTGTGATCAAATGAGACCAAAATTGAGCTCTTTGGCATTACCGTATTTTACGGACGATTACTCGCTCCGGGTTATAAGATGCACTGTCGTTTTCCCGAACTTTTTTCACATATAAACCGCACCGGACTATAAGGCACATTAAGCAAAACACAACAGTTAGGTAAGTCAGTCAAACTTTATTTAACATGTTTACAATAACTCAACTTTGTTCCTTTGTAACACGTAAAAAACAAAAAACTGTCTGAGATCGATAAATTGTCAGCGTATTCACAATAACTCATAATTGTTCAGTTATAACTAAAAATAACACACTACACTCACTTTTTCAGTTCATTCCTCGTCCACAAATCCCTCAAATTCTTCATCTTCAGTGTCCGAGTTAAACAGTTGGCCAATTCCGGCCTCCAGCACGCCCGTATCCCTCTCGTCATTATCCGAGTCAGTGTAGTTACTGTTCCCTGGCAGTTCAGTGATGATTCGGGTCTTGGTGAAAGCTCGGACCACAGTCGATACTGATACCTTAGCCCAGGCGTCCACGATCCATTGGCAGATCGTGGCGTAAGTCGCTCGGCGCTGTCTCTCTGTCCTGGTGAATGTGTGTTCTCCTTCTGCCATCCACTGCTCCCACTCAGCTCGCAGTTTAACTTTGAACGACTTGTTGACACCAACATCTAGCGGCTGAAGTTCTTTAGTTAATCCACCCGGAATGATGGCAAGCACTGAATTAGTTTGTTTCACCTGTTTTTTGATGGCATCGGTGAGATGAGCGCGCATGGAGTTGCAGATCAATAGGGACGGAGATGTGTGGAAAAAGCCATCCGGTCTCTTAACGTAAACTTCTCGCAGCCAGTCGCTCATCTTTTCCTCGTCCATCCAGCCTTTCGGGTTAGCTTTGATGATGACGCCGGCTGGAAACTTTTCTTCTGGTAAAGTCTTTCTCTTGAAAATGACCATGGGTGGAAGTTTCTGGCCATTAGTCTGGCAACCGAGAACTACAGTGAAGGATGACTTCTCGCTCCCTGTAGTGCGTATAGACACCGTTCTGGTCCCTGTTTTCTCTACAGTGCGGTTCATGGGGATATCAAAGGTAAGCGGCTCTTCATCCATGTTGGTGATGTGCTCTGGTCGGATCTTGGTTTCAGTGATCTTGTCTTTGCAGTATGCACGGAAAGTTTCCAGCTTTTCTTCATAATCTTTTGGCAGTTGCTGCGAGACGGTAGTTCGTGTGCGGATGGAGAGATTACGTCTTTTCATAAAACGATAGCACCAAGAAGGCCCGCCTTGAAAGTTATTGATACCATTTCCCATGCTAACGCTGTTGCCTTCATTTGAATACTGACTGTACTGACGCTTCTCTCTGCTGCTCTCTGTTCAGTGACCCACTGTTCAATTTTGTCCTCCAACTGTGGCCATCTCGCTCTGTTCCCTCGGAAACTTTGAGTGGTCCTCTTTACTTGGCACAGGTCATCTTCTTGCTTCCTCCACTTCCGTACCATTGATTCGTTAATGTTGTGTTTTCTCGCAGCTGCTCTATTCCCATGTTTTACTGCATCACTTATAGCCTTGAGTTTAAAGTCGGCGTTGTAAGCGTGTCTCTTGACAGGTGGCATTTTGATCATGATCATATGAGGAATCACAGTACGTATCACTCCGCGATGCTCCTGACTACGGTAGCCATAATGCTGCAAGTGGTGCGGCTTTGTCGTACTGGGACACTTGCGTAAATTCATATAAAAGGCGCTCTGGATTATAAGGCGCGCAGTCGTTTTTGGAGTCTTAAGACCGCGCCTAATTGTCCGGAAAATACGGTAACTCAACTCGCTGTGTTTGGTAGAAAAAAAAAATCTAACTATTCTGATATTTGTGCAGACTTGGTCATCAAGTGCAAGAAATATCTGACCTCTGCAAACAAGGGTTTTGCCACCAAGTACTAAGCCTTTTTTGGCAACAGGGTTCAAATACTTATTTCACTCAGTGGAATGCTAATCAGTTTATATATTTTCTTTAAAGTTATTTTCTGGATTTTCTTTCTTTTTGATATTCCATCTCTCAATGTTAAAATAAACCTACCTTTAAAATTACTGTTCATTTCTTTGTCAGTGGGCAAACCTAAAAAATCTGCAAGGGATCAAATACTTATTTCCTCCACTGTACTGGTCAGCAGTTAGTTTTTGATAGTTTGATAGTACCCCCACTAGTTAATGTGTTTTAGCTAGGACTGAGTTACTTTTGCCCTCTACATTACTTACTTTAGTGCTAACTATAATATGTATGATGTATTATTAATTATGTTTAGCCAAACCTGTTAATTTGTGTGTCCAAACCTCCTTGTTAAAACTTGATCTTGACAGATCTCAGAAGCTGAGCAGGGCTGGGCCTGGTTAGTACTGGATGGGAGACTGCTGGGAAAATCAGGTGCCACAGTGGAGCAGCAGTTGCATAAACTGTTGTTGTGTCCTTGGGCAAGACACTTTACCCACATTGTCTACTATGATTGTGGTGTGTGCATGATGGTGGTGGTCAGAAGGGCTGATTGGCAGCTTTGCTTCCATCAGTCTGCCCCAGGGCAGCTAATGCATTATTATTATTAGTAGTAGTAGTGGTAGTGGTGGTAATATTCTCCTGGAACTAGTTCTAATTTCTAGCCCAGCTCTTAACTGGTGCC